ATTTGATGAGTGCTTATTTTATAATTAAATAGGTATAAATGTTAGATTATATTTATTAATAATTTATACTATTTAATTAAATTTATATATTTATTTCTTATAACTTAATTATAATATAAAGAAGAATTTTTGGAGAAAAATATATTCATATCCTTCTCTTTATTGTGCAGGAAAAGAAAATACAAAATAATAAGGCGGAGGAGGCGGAAGCAAATATATGTTGAGAGAGAGAGAGAGAGAGAGAATATATTTTGAAAAAATATTAGATTTTAAATCAAATCAAATCTGAAGAAAAATAATATTTTGGCATTTTAGGAAGATTGGAAAATATTAAATGCAAAGTATTAGATATAAAGACATCCAGAGTCATTTAGAGGCATCCAAGTTATATCTGAATTTGAGACAGCAGTTCTGTAGTATCAACTAAGGAGCTATCGTGGAACATCTAGAGAGGATTTTTCTAGATTCTCTCTTATTCTTATCTATGTTCTTGAATCTCTATGTTGAATTTGATTTGTTTTGCATATTTACAGCCATAAGTGGCTAGTTCTCTTTTATTCATAGGAATTTCATGAACCCTCAATGCTTTTAGATAGATTTATTTCTAGTTATTGGTTTTGATGATGACTTTAATGCTTAATATGAATTAATTTCCATGCTATTGATTGATCAACTTTAGTGTGTGTTTGGATCTTGATTTTCAACAGAAAAGGAGTCTCAAATAGACCGTGTATTAGGCAACTTATGATTAAATTTAATCTAATTTGAGCTTGAAATAGAAATATACCCAAGAGCCCTTAGTAATCATTTAAGAACAATGCATAATTGGATCTGGACTCTCTTGGGACATCATAGTATAGTTTGATCATAGGTTCTATAATCGACGGATACATAATCTAGTTTAGATCCTTGATTTTAAAGTTAAATTAAAATTAATATCTAAAGTAATTAGAACTGTTAGGGAGCTCTTTGATTGTTAGTCTTAATTCGGATATCTTCTTGATTTTAGTTTTCTTTTATTCGTAATTTTTAATTTAATAAAAATTCTTATTCTTTGTTTGGATAACTTAACTGAAATGAAACAAATCAATTGTGCCAATTTCTTTTAATTAGTTCCTTGTGAAATGACATTGATCTCTATGCTACATTAAATCCATACACTTGCGGTTGATTAAATTTTTGTGCGTATCAGCTAATGACTTGGCCGATTTGCACTCTTCTCCAATTAGCATGATAGCTTATTTTTGCATATGATTTTATCATCTAAAAGCTTTCCAAAACCATCAAGGGTCTAGAAATGCTTCCAACTAAACCTTAAACCAAAATAATACAAATTAGCCTAAAAGTATTAAATTAAAGCCAAGTGTGCAAGCTCAAAGTAAGATGCACATTTTCCTATTTAGGCAATCTAAACATATAAAAATTGTGCCAAAATATATTAGAAACCAAGGAAAAATGTGATGAAATAACATAAAATTTTAGATGTTAACAAGTTGACAGAGACAACCCAATTAACATTAATAATTTATATAATATCTTATTGATAATTACATTTTTTCACTTGGTTTTCATTGCTATATTTAAAATATAGTTCCAATTTATTGTTTATGACATTTCCCAACACACTATCACATTTTAATACTTTAATATTAAAATAGATTATTAAAAGTAACTTCCATAATTAAAGGGAAAAGTAAATTAAAATATATATATATATATATATATATAAAATTAAAATTTCACTCTTGCCGAAAAGGTTTTAAATATTAGTGTATTCTTTATACTAAAACTAGCATGCGATGCACGGCAAGAGCCAAGAAGTATAATAAGAATGAAAATCACATGAAATCCATATACCTCCGTATATGAGAAGGATGATGATGGTGATCCTCTAATGAAACTCCCCTGTGTCAATAGCCTTTCAATGGATACAATAATGGAGCTGCACCGAGCTTTTAAAGAACTTTTAGTCACTCTGCGAATGAAGGAAGGAGATCAATATGTAATAAAACTTGAACCTTGAAATGAAAAGAAGAGAGGTTTGTTCAGTTGGAAATTTGTAGGAGCTTTCCCTGAAAGAGATATGAAGAAGGGTATCTAATTTCTATACAAGTGTGTGCGCCTTTGATAATAATTAAATTAATAGTTTAGTTGATTTGTTATAGGAAAAATTTCAATAAAGGACATTTGACCAGACTTATTTACATTCAAAGTTAATACAATTCAAGGATACTAATTTGACATTAAATTTCTGAGTGAAATAACAAAATTACCCCTCCTTTAAATTAATATTAGAACTTCCTTACTTCACTTGTTAATTACCCTACTTAACTTGTTTATTTTCTTAGAATGAAATTAAGTGAAAGTCTGGCAATGAACAAGTAGATAAGACAATGAACAAGTAAAGTAAAGCAATTAACAATAGTTCGTAAGTAAATGACCAACATATAGTATATGAATCAATAAGTTGTCTTAAGATGACTTAAACACCTAAAATAAAAACAGTTGAAATAGAAAAATTAACAATATTCTGTAAGTAAATGAATAAGTGAAGTAGAGCTGTCTTAATATTAATTCAAATGAAGGGTAATTTTGTTTTTTTTAATTTAATATTAAATCAGTACTTTTAAATTGTAGTGAAATTTTAGAAATTTAAGAGTTTTGAATTTAAGTAAGTTTGACCAAGGGTTCTTTATTGAAATTCTCCTTTTGTCATATGTTTTCTTCTTTTGCCTGTTAGGCTACTTTTACAAGAACCCTGACTAAGGTAGAAAGATCTGGGAGCTTTCCCTGAAAGTGATATAAAGAAGGGTGGTTTCTAATTTCTGGGCAACTTTTTAGAAGTTTTTTTTTTGCCAAGCCTTTCATAAGAATTAAATTAAAAATTCTGTTCATTTCCTAATTATGCTTTTTCATCCTCTGCTGACTCATTTTTTTTAACTAACTTCATCTTTTGTTGGGTTACTTTTTTTTTTTTTAATAAGCTGTGATTGTGAAGCAGGTGCAAAGTTGACACATTGATAATAATTCGATCTTGACGATTTTTTTAGAATATAATTCTTTTAATTCGGAAAAGCATTAGTGCAGGAGATGAAGATATCATTATACACAAGCAGTAACCGGTGGTTTTGGTGCATATTAGATGGTTTAAATTTTATTATTTTATAATTTTTTAATTGATACTACTTTATTTGAATAATTTTTAAAAAAATTAAATGCTAAAATATCAATACCTTCCATTACTGCTTGTACTAAAGTTAAGATTTGGATTCCCTTCAATGTCCCCTCCCTAACGTATCCCATATGAGGAATATATCTTATCCACTTCTATAAAATATTAGGAGTAATATGTGGGGAAAACATAATTATAATTATTAATCCCTATAATTTTAGTATGTTTTGGTATAAGTTTCTATAATTTTTTTCATTGCTCCAAGTCTCTTTCTAGTTTATCTCATGTATGCCCAACATTAGTCCCTTCACTTTATAATATGTCTAAAAAAAATGATAAAGTGGCACTAATGATATTAAATAAGCTAACATATGTCTAACATCGTTAATCTTTATACTAAGGTGGAATTATGTTTCAACAAATTAAAACATAAAGCATGGTAGACAACATGAAAAAGAACATGGTGGACAACGCTTAATATGCGAAATCATAATTTCACTCAGCATGTATATATTAACTACATTAGTCACAGGTCAACATATTTAACACCATAAGAAGTGCTATCTCATTGTCCTTTTAATATATATATATATACACACACATATATAATTGTAACAGCATAATGATACTCTGAGATATAAAATAGTGAAGCTAGAATTCTAATCGGAACGGTCCAATGAACATAAAAGAGGAAAAGGGGAGGCAGTGGAGGAAGAAGTCTAATATGATATGAGAGATCGCTCATTATTATTAATATTTTTTATACGTGATGCTTGACTCCATACTTTAACAATGTTGGATGACTAAGCCTTCATTGATTCCATATCGTTTCAACTTTAATTTTATTCAACTGCGTGGGTGGCTAATAATTTAGTCTCTTTGTTAATTTATTTTCCACGCGATTCGTATAAGGAAGACCGAAGATATTAAAGGCAATAATTACTCCGACTTGGTAATGGCATGATTCACATTATGGCACATTCACTAATGCAAGTCATTTTTGGCTATTTTACACATAATGACAAAAAGTTAAATTAAATATTAATTAAAGCATTAAAATTGTCGTGAAAAAGACAATAGGAGTGCCAATTTCTAGAAGATACTTTATACTCACTCTGTCCCCAATTATAAGACACTTTTAGACAAAATCTCACATACTAATAAACCTCATTAAATACACTTAACAACCTTATCTTTCCAAAATAAAAATATAGACTTTCAAAAATACCCATAATTTGATTTATTGAAAAGAGAAGGGATATAAATTAATTATAAAAAGAGAAAGTATAATATTAGAATAAGCTTATCTAATAAAATATTAATTTTCTCAAAGTGTCATATATTTTGGGATGTCAAATCTCTTTCAAAAGTACCTTATAATTTGGGAATGGAGGAGTAGTCTGTATATACTCCTTCTAATTCTACATGTAAGTCATTTCTATTTATCACTGGAATTGAGGAGAGATAATTAAATCATTCATACTGTGTTAAAAGATTGATTAATTCATCTTTATTAAATGCATCAAATTTAAAAACACTTTTTCTCTCATTTACGTGCAACTCTCAAGTCTTAGATGTGTGAGTTTAACTTTTTTTTGAAGAAAATCTATGAGCTACCAGCACGAGTCATTTCATATAAAGTAGAGTTGAATTCTTAATTATATTTGAGACACCCTATAAGTGTGTAATTTTCATTAATTAAGCAAATATGCAAGCATATATGATTTAAGAAGTTGCATTAATACAGTTTCAACCTTCAATCTTATAACCCTTCAGGCTAGGGTGATCAGATAGGAAAATCAAAGATAATTGGTAAAAGACAATCATATCATTCCCAAATGTACCAAATACATTTGCACAGACTTTCAATATAAATCTCTCAAGATTCATGACTTATGCTTTATGCATAATTGACCTCACAAATGCACATAAGTAAATTAGACAGCAACGAACAAGCCTACGATAAGTTTTTTGTTCTGCTAAAACAAACAAAAGAAAATATAGAAAGTTCTCTAAGAAAGGATTAGACCAAATGCCAAGCAGTTTCACTTCTATCGAGCTCTTCAAAGGAGAAAAATTCAAGCAATGTGCAAGTTTTGAGCAGCCAGCCAGATTTAGAATTTCTAATGAGTTTAGAGCAAATAGATGATTGGGAATACTAATGAGATTGACGCAATTTCTCAAATTCAAGGACTTCAGCTTTGAAAGTTTGGCAATAGATGGATCCAATTCCAATAGTCCAGTGCAACCTTCAAGGTCAAGTCTTTCAAGATTTTGAACTTCTCCAAAATCTGGCGACTTGATCAAACTTTTGGAGCCACTGAGATTCATTTTTCTCAACTTAGGGAGCATCTGTGCCATTGAGAAAAAAATTGATAGTAGAAATAATTAGATATGATCAATAGGTGAAGGTATATATCTATATCAATCATGCATGAAATATTAAACATATAGAAGAACATTAACATCACCATTTTGCCCTTCCACAATTCTGTGACATTGCTATCGGGCATAATCAATTGAACGAGTGTATCGGATTGAAAACTCGATGGCAAAGAAGTGAATGGATATTGATGCCATGAAACATATTGTAACTGGCTTGAAAGAATATCCAAGGTTCCAGAAAAATGCACATTACGAAATATGAGTAATCTAAGGTTGATCATAAGTGATAAAGCTCCAATCTTTAATGTAATCCCTTTCGGCTCTTCCAAATCCAAGACCATAGCTTCAACATTTTTTATCACCTAGGATTAAATGCATTTAGAAAGAAAATAAAATTAAATGTTAGATTATTACTCTAACTTTTCAAATTGAATTATGATTTACTAAAAGGGGTAACCAAAAAATTACCGTGTTTCTTTCTTTCTCCATAACACATCTGATATCATTGAAAAGGTACAATCGGCGGCGTTTTTCTGGTTGACTTGGACATTCTTGTCGAACAATTTCTTGTCCCATTGCTTGTGACATAGTATGCATTTGTATTCTTTGATTTGCAATTGTAATAAGTGATTTTTGAATAAGAAGTTCTATTCCTATATCAGCAGAGAAACCAGAATCATGTAAAATTTCCTTCACACATTTATCGTTCTTTCCTACAAAAAAACATGCTATGTCCAAAAACATTTCCTTACTCATTGGATCAAGTTCATCAAAACTTTTTCTAAGGATCATTATGATCTCATAGGGAGGAATAATTTCTTCTCTATCCAAGAAACTTCTCCACTCTGCCACGCTTTTTCCAAAAAAGAATGAACCCAATATTTCAATTGCTAGTGGAAGCCCATTAGCATATTCCAATACCTTGTCTATCATTTCTTGAAATTCACTAACAGGATATTCCTTTGGAAAAGCCATAGAGCAAAATATTATAAAACCTTCATCTTTAGACAACAATTTAGGTCTATAAATAGCATCCACCTTAGACATTTGAGGGACTTGTTCATCTCTTGTTGTTATTATGATTCTATTCCCTCTGCCAAAACAATTAGATTTTTCAATCAAGCTCAATTCCTCAATATCTTGCACATGATCTGCACCATCAAGAACTATGAGAAACTTGTGGTTTCTTAAACTTTTGCATGCCAAGAACTCTTGTCCTAGAATTTGTCTTATCTCTAAATCTTCTGTCTCCAAATTTCTATGAATAAGTTGTTGTAGAGATAAGTCACCTTGCTTTAAATGTCTATTGACATCCGGAAGGAAGCAAAAAGCGTCAAAAAGTGAAAGATCTTGAGATATACAACAAAGGCAATGGATGACTTCCCTAATCCGCCCATACCACAAATGCCTAGAGCTTGAACTTCATCTTCTGAACTCAAATAAAAAATCTTTTCAACTTCTTCTACTCGAGATTGCATTCCAACAAATCTAAAAAAGCCATAAAATAGTTTATCTATTTTTGACTTGACTTCTTTAACAATCTTCTGAATAACTTGTGATCCTGATCTGGAAAAAAGATGAGCCAAAAACACCCAATCATAAAATCTTTTTCCCTCCTGAGGTGGGAGCAAAAATGAATCCTTTGTTAATATTGGTGCAGTTGTTATACAGTACATAATATATTTCAAACATCTAGATTAAACTTCCGATCCTATATATACATATATAATATTAAAAAAATTTCTTTTTTTATAATCAAAAAGTAGGATACAACATATAATGAAAAAAGATTGTTTCTGTTGTTTTTGATGCGTGGGCGTGCCAAAGGAGCTTGTTTTCAAACAACACAATAGAACTTTTACCACAATTTCCCTAGCTATATACAAGTACTTAAAAAAATAAAGAAAAAGAGATGAAGCAAAATGCAAGAATTGCGTAACAAGAGTAGACATAATACTATTACTATTTTGAAATAAGTTACAAAAACTGTAATTTGGAACATTAGAGCAACAATGCTATTATTCTATCGAGTGCTACTGCTCTACTAGACGTAAGGGACCTATTGCTCTCTCAGTGATTAGAGAAACTACATCTAAAGCTATAAAAGGAAGGGATTGGAGAGGTCTCGTATATGTGGCTTGCATCCCTTTACACAGGCAAAAAAGTTAATTGTTTCCATGGCACCATGTTCTATATTTTGTAGGTCTATTAGATGCAGTTTCCCCCAAACTTCTTGCTTTTCTTCCCATTTTTGAAGTGGTTAGTTGATTATTCTCTCTTTTAAGTAACTTCTCTCTTTCTAGAAACTTAAGGTGGGCTTGGGCCAAAAATTATATTGTAGCCAAAATAATTGCCCCCTATATGACAATTTGGTTGAGCTTATTGAAAGCCAAGGTTGTATGGGTATTTGAATTGCTTCCACCTCTTTGCATTCCTTACATATAGGGTATGGAATTTGGAGAACTAGCTCTCTTCAATTGTAGTTCCAAGTGGTAGTTTTGCTTTACGAGCTAGCTTATTTTTCGTAAAAGGCTTTGTGTGTGGATCCAACTCTTCATATGACTCTAAAAGTATGTAGTTCTCTTCTAGCTCATTAGCCTTAGAGATTGATCTTGGGGTTTCCTAAAGAGTTTCCCTTAGGTTCTTCATTTATAACAGGTTCTAAAGGCTAGAGTTGGCCTTTGACTCTTTCCTTGAAAGTTGTTCCAAAAGACCCAGAGTCATCCTCTAGCTTAATGTCCTTATGGAACTAATCATAGGAGCTATTAGTAGAATGACCCTAAGCTCTTTGGATATGCTCTTGAAGAACTCTCATCAACTCCTAAAAGAGCCTTCTTCTTGTTGAGCTCAACATTTTTTTGCAAGGATATCCTCCTTAATGATATTATCATATGCTTTCCAAGTATTAATGGTGGAGCAGTGTTTCTAACTTATGGATCTTAGCTCTATATTTTTCCTCATGCTTGAAATGTTTGTAAGAGTCATGTAAAGCAATTATGAATTGCCCTAAAAGATCTCAAAGCTCTGCTTAGTGCTCTATGTTGTGTTGCAAGGTCTTTAGTATTGGTTGAGGATCCCAACATGTGGTTGAGAAGTTGTCCTACATCGTATAGCTATATTCATCATACTCATTCCAGGATTGTAATAGAATCAACTTGTGTACTATTCTTGCAACACCACATTCAAGACCCAGAGATTCAATATCACTTTTCTTGTTATTATTTATTGATCTTATTTTGTGGCATAACTAGAAGGGTGCATTTATGCTTTAGTTCTATAATGATGTGATTCCATGTTGGCTCAACAATGGTATGGTTTTGTGTTAGTTCCACAAGCTAGATCTATGATTCTTTTGGCCCTTAGATCACATGCTCTAGAAATGTGTGGCATATTCCTACTGGCTCTATATGTATGTTGATCCTTGAGTGGGTCTTTAAGTGTTTTGGTTCCTAATGGCTCCAAATCACTAACTTTAAGGGTGTGTGAATCCATATGACTTTACCATGTGTGCTTATCCATATAAGAGCTGCTTGTATGTTGATCCTTAGATGAATATCTTATGCTACTAGAATCTAGTTCACGGGGCTAACATCTGAGTCAAGGCTCAATAAAAATTTCTTCTCAAAATAAATATATGACTCATGTGGTACCATTGTTTCACATGCATGTATCCCACCAAGTGTAACATCTTGAGTCTTCAACCTAGAAATTTTAACTGTTTAGAAGAGTATATTGGTGATTTTAAGTGAATTTGTGATTTATGACGATTATGGGAGACTAATATAGTTTTTAAATAATTGGACAGCCTTATAAGAGGGCTAGATTAAAGGTTGAGTGAGTTGTGGCATGGAGAAAGACTCAATTTGCATTTGAGGTTCTTTATGCCATGCTCCATAGTGTATGTAAAGAAATTTGCATATATCATATATGTGATCAGTTGAAAACCAAAGAAAAGAAAGAAAGGAAATGAGAGAGCGATAGAAGAGACCTAGAGGCAGTTAGGACATGATCTTAAGGGTATCTTAGAGGCACATTGGGCTTACTACACCTTGGGTAAGCTATCCTTTCTTCTCCCTTTCCCTTTTATGCAAACTTTGATACTTTTGGGTATGGTTAAGGTTTGTTTTCAATTGTTATTGGGTAATAGACGAACCCATTGACTTAGATAAGGTCTTGAAAAGTTAAATCAAGCCTTTAACCTTAAGTTTATGAGATTTATGGTGGTTTGCAATTTTTTGGTTAGGGTTTAAATGAACCCTATGTTAGAATTAGTGGTTTTGGGACAATATGGATAGTTGGTTGATAATTTTAGTATGTTTGGATTCCGAATAGGATTGTTGGAGTGTTTTAAAAGGGTTGATGTTGTTAAATATAGAGTTTAGGTGTTATGGGTACTTGGAATTTAGTGAATTCGTGGTTTATTAGGATGGATAATTGACGATTACTACTAAATTATGTAGATTGAGTGTTGCTCGAGCCTTATCGTGTGTATAGAACAAGTGGAGCTAACGTTGAACTACGGTAACCCTTTTGTGTGACAAAGGGTTGAGGTAACGAAAAAATTTACACTATTTGATTATGTTGCTTAACTGTTTATGAGTAAATAAGTATATTTGTTTACATGTGTTTCAAAAGCTTGGCATGTTGTGAAGATAATTTTCTTTATGCATTAGAAACTACTTTTGAAATGATAAAGATTTTTGAGCTCTTTTATGAGAAAGATCGTGATTTTTTTCACAAGTGTGTGATAGGTATGGAAAGTATGAGCATGATCATGCTAAGGGATGGGAGTTTACCTGTAAGAAGAAGTAGTGAAAGTTCATATGGCATATATCTCCTTAGTACTTAGTGAGGCACAGTGTTGGAGATTATCTCCTTAGTATCCATGGCGTTGAAGAGTGACGTTTCTTAGCATTAGTGATGCGGTATTGGAGTAACGATACCCCAATTCATGTGTAATAGGGGAAGGCCATAGTTTGAAAGTAGGATAAGGCACCTTTAGTTGGGTGATCCTACCATTAAAGGTGAGCTCTGACCATTATGAATGTGCACTTGGTCTAAAAGCCTATGGTTTCAGTCGGGGTGATATGAAGGCTCGGATGGTAGAATAATCATGTTAGAGTAAAAATGAATATTGATTATGAAAAAGACTATGTTGAACTATGCTAGACATATATTTTGGTGTATATTGACTTTATAGTTGTGCATGTTAATTGATAGTAATGAATTATTCTATTATTGAGATGTTTATCTCACCTTGTGGTTATATTTTATAGGAGAAGGCTCCGGTAGGGGCAAAGAGGAGGAAGGAACAATTAAAGAGTGAAGAGCTTTGTGTGTATAACTCTTCTCTTTCCTATTATGGGTTTTGTAATGAATATGTCATGTGGTATGCCAACTTAGGATCATTATATTATTTTGCTATCACTTGTATAAAACTCTGTGTCATGTGTGCGTATCTCGGCCTAAAATTGTGATGCTCCTAGTTAAGTGAGTATGAATGACCAAGATACTAGTATAAGTGATTTATTGTGTTAACTAAGAGCTAGAATGACCAAAATGAAATTTATGTTGAATTTTATCCACCCCTTTATATTGTTAAGAATTGGAGATTTGATAGTCATTTTAAGTATGAATGGTTATTTGTGTGACATGATTGGCCATGTATGTTGTGTGTGGTCCATTTGAGTTGGTCAAAGTGGTTCTAGAGTTAATGGCATTAGGTTGTGGATTTTGGACACCATTGGATGTGTTTTGAAATGAAAATGAACTATTTTGAGTTTGGGTATCCATCTTTTTAACGGTTGAGAATTTAGCTGTAAGACCGGTGCTATTAGTTAGAGGGTTCAAAGAGCTTCATAAATTAGATGACAGATGATGAAACAGCAAGCTCCGAAAGTTCACAATGTTGTCATGACAATGGGTTCACGCCATGGTGCATAGTAGTCGTACCGCGACATAATGCGTGCTAAAGGATTCATCCCTTTGTGCCATCCGTCATGGTGGGTATGGCCTGCATCGCGGTGGATGGGCTAGATTCTAGAGAAATTTTAGTTTTCTTTTACTTATTTTCAGGTGTTGTTTGCTTCCTATACTTTTGTTATCTTATTTGATTTATTTTAAAACATAGTTTAAGCTTAAACAGGTTTTAAAAAAACCCTCAAGTTTTAAACTAATTACTTTTAAATCCTTAGGTTGTGATATCTTTTATTTAGGATTTTAATTAATCTTGGTTATCATAACGATATGTTAGAGTATTGTCTTGGTAATGTTAAGGCGGACATTACACCAGGCATGCCAAAATTGCTTGTAGTCTTTTTAGTGTACAGGCATGCTTAAGGAGCTTATCCTCAAACTATCCGATACACACCTAACTTCTGAATCAAATAATGAGTCTTGGGATCCTTTGTCACAATTTCCATAGATGCAAGTGCCTAAAAATAAATAAAAAGAGATGGAGCAAAATGCAAGAACTACATAACAGGGGCAAACATAATACTGTTACTATTTTGGAATAAGTTACAAAAATTGTAATATGAAAAAACAAAAGGAGAATGTCGGAGCAATGATCCTATTGTTCTACCAAGTGCTACTACTCTACTAGATGTAAGGGACTGGCTACTCTTTCATGGACACATGCAGATCTAAAGGAACTACATCTAATACTACAGAAGGAAGATTTTAAGTCTAAGTGTTTTTAGGTGTTGGATGATATATGGAAGGAATGGAATGGTCTTGTATGTATGTCTTGTGTAACATCCCAAATTTTAATCCCTAGATTTCTAAAGAAATTGATCAAGTTTAATTATGATAATTGAGTTATTTGAGTGTGTGACTAAGGAGGTCCAATGAACGTATTCAGTTATATTTTTAGCCCTAATTATAGGTCCAAAGTAAAGTCTAGCCAGTCGGACATTGAAATGAGGAGAAAAACGTGAAGGGATATCTCCCTGCCACATACCATGATGCATGGATGACCATTGAAGCAAGGAGCGTCTCTGTGCCATGTGCCACAGTGCACAGCCCATTTTCTACAATTTTAAGTCACGAACAGATAGAAAATTAGAAGGAGAAAAAGGGAGAAACTAAGAACAAGCAACTAAGCTCTGCTAAGGTTCACATTTGAGGTAAGTATCCTATACTCTATTCCTCCCTCTCTCTTTCATTTTAATGGAGATTAGAGTTAGGGTTTGAGTTGGAATGATAATTTTTGATCCATATAGGCTATGATTCCAAAACTATTAACTCAAATGGAGTTAATGAGAGTAGTTTAGAATATTTAAACCTAGAAATAATGAGTTATGACACTTTTGGTTGGTACATGTCATTAATGTCTGAAAAATGGATATTAAATTTGAAATTATGGATGTGGTTGAGGCATTAATAGCAATGTGGGTACTTAATGAAGTTAGATAATGTTAATGAGAGTTTATAAACCTAATGTGTAAGCCCAAAGGTAAAAATTAAGGATGTTGGATGACATAAAAGTGAAAGCATGAGAGTGAAAATAGGTGTTTGACATTGTGAAGAAGTTTAGATTTGGTCAATTGTACATTAAGGATTTAGGCACCATATTAGCTTGGAAAATCAAGCTTGGAAGCTAAAATATTGAGGGGTAAACCTTTGACTTCTCAAAAGTTTAAGATAATCGAGGAAACCCTATTTTGGCCAGTTGTTTCTTAATTGAATGTTAATTGTGAAATGTGCAAATTGGCTTGTATGATTTGACTTCTAAATGTGAAAGCCCATCATTAGCCTTGATAATTGTTTGAATTGTGAATATGCAAAATGTTGTATTTGACTTGAAATGTGAAATTGAAGTCAATGATTTTTGAACTATCAATATGTGTATGATTTGGGATGAGAAATGTGTTGTTATGTGATGGGATCAAAGTGTATTGATGGAGAAATTGATGATGTGATAAAGTGAAAAGTGTTTATGAAAATAATATGGATGCTCACTTAGGTACTGTATTATCATGAGCCTAACATATTAATAAAGAATAAATGAGATTGTGAAAATGAGTGGACATCATATATTGCATGATCAGTTGGCAGGAGTTCACCTAGGGAGAGAAGTAGTTAAAATCCATATGATACTTTCAATTGCTTTTCAGTGCATGAGGATATAGCCTTGTCCCATAGTTTGTCGAGGGACTATCCCATAGTTTGTTGAGGGACTAGAACCTAACTATCTCCACCAATTTCTAGAGGACATTAGCTTAGGATATACAACACCCTATAGATTTGAGAGTAGGGGAAACCAAGGTTTGAGAGTAAGTATTGTGATCTTTGGCTAGGTCAAACCTCACAATTGGTGAGCTTAGATAGTCTAGTCACACGGATGGAGCCCCATTCGATATTATAGCCCTTGGTTTCAATCAGAGGAAATAAAGAGAGTATAAGGATGGTTTGATCATGCATATGTGTGTTTATCTACGTGTCACATGATTAGTTGTGGCAAGTCATGTTAATATATTGGGTCATGGTCACATGTCTGAGTGTCTCATGGCTATGTAAATTATAATGGAAATGGAAATGAGAAATTAAGATTTATGTCTTAATGTGTGTTTTGAGAAAATATATTTCAAACATATGTGTTTATTTCAATTGATGTACAATTACATAGGGTAGACTTACCTTAGTTACTGAGTGGTTAGACTCACCTCTCTTCTTTAATATTTTACAAGCTTTAGCTCTAGTGCAGGAAGGGAGAAGGCTTCGAAGGCTTAAGAATTCTAGTTTTCCTATTGTATGCCTCTAATAATTATTTATTTTGTGTAATAGACTTAATATTGCCAATTGAGATGCATTTTTGCTTATACTTACACTATAGAGTTGTTTGTAATGTCTAGTTGTATTTTAGGCTCTGATGTCACGACCCAAAAATAGGGGTGACCGACACAAGATGTGAACCACATCATACATCCCGTAAGCCAAAAATTCAAGGTTTATTTCCTTTAATTAAAATGTACTCAGTTTTACACTAACATTTTAATACTATTGATACTAATCATTATACTAATTGTTTCAACATTTTGTAAAAATTTTGACAGAACTTCCTCTGTAAATAGAATCTCTCAAAAATTCTGTATCACAAAAATTTTCCTTAAACATTATATCAATCAGGAGCTCGGCTCCTTCCAGCCAGTAGACAAAATATATAATAAACTAAGAACTCTAATTATAAGTTATGTGGAGCACCTAATTATATGTCTCATGACATAATACATAAATTTCATATTTATATCAATAAGACATATTTACAGAACAAGCCTCCATTCTATTCTGCAAGCATCCATCATTAGTAAGCAAGACGTACAACATCAATTATGCTATCTGAGACCAAAAATAATTTTCCAGTGAATAACGTCTCAACAATAAATAATTTAACATGAATAAAAAGAAAAGTTTGAAATAACCATGTAAATTAACGAGACAACAATTTCCATAAAAAAAAGTATAAACTTCAAAATAAAATGATTCTATAGAATTTTGAATAAAATCTTGAACCATTGAACTATCATAGCAAATGATAATATCACTTGATTTTTAAGAAGTCACTTAAATGAAATAAATATTTATAAACAAATTACTAAACAAAAATCAATAAAATATGAAATCATCAAATGATTGGTTTCATAATTATAGGGATTTATCAAAATAATTACAAACGTGGACACACAGTCCACGAAGTTAAATAACCAAACGTGGCTTGTGCCACGAAGACAAACATGGACACACACAGTCCACGAGGGTAAGTAACCAAACACAGCCGAAGCCACGAAACAAATGTGGACACACAGTCCACAAGGGTAATGCTAACCAAACGCGGCTTAAAGCCACGAAACAAACGTGAGTACGATGCTCACGAATAACCATCCCTCCATTCCACGTGCGTTGGCCATCGCACGGGCTAGCACCTCCTATAAACACCCTGCTAGCTAGGTGTACCATGGCGCGCCAAGGGCTAACGGAACTGCCGTTAGCAACCAGTGTTCTATATAAAGTCCTTTTTTAAAATCATTTCAAACATGCGAGAAAATCATCACTTTCAAGATACAGTTCTCATTCTCAAAATCAAACTCGCATAAATACTTTTAAGCATTAAAACTTTCCAGAATCAAATTTCATATTCGATGCTCATGCTTGCATTTATTAAATAAAAAAATTTTCAACATCGAACTCGTATGAATTATTTTTCGTAGCAATTTAATAATTTCCAGAATGAAAATCCCATAATTAAAATCCAAACTTGTATTTACTGATAAAATAAAATTATCAAATCTAGTAAAGATAACTTCACAAAAATAAAATACTTTAATCAACAAAATATCCAATAATCACATTGTTGCTATAAAAAAGATTTGTATAAAAATGTAATATTTGAATAAAGGAGATTTTAATGAAATATCAGTTGAGACGCTATTCACTTACCTGAAGTGTGCTTGAGTACTAAAATTAACTTCTTAGAACCCAATCAAACCTTCCTTCTGCTAAATGCCCTATCTAATATAAAAAGAAAATTCAAGGGCATAATCAAGTTTGATAAACTCTTTCCAGCTCTTGTCAAGTGCAAGCAACAAAACTTAATTAATATTAATATTATATATATAGCATAATTAATCACTTTAAATTCCAAGTTCTCTTATCACCCTTTCTATCAAGCAACTCAAAGGCATTCCCAAATCAAATTTTTAAACATTATCATTTATAATTATTATCCATACAATTTCATAGAATGTAACTTGTCTCCGCACAATTTCATACTCAAAATTCTTCATACAATTAAAATTAAATTCATGAACAATTAATATCCAAACTAAATATGTAGAGTTAATGAAATCTAAAAAAAATCATATCCGACCACAACTCTTTCTAATATGCATTTGAGCAAACATCTTGCATGTACTACTTTTTTTTCTTTTTTCTTTTTCCAATTCTCTTCCAATCCCCTCATAATAAGCAATATAATTTTATTAAACTTCCATCTATCCTTGCCGCAACATGATTGATCCAAATGATTAAAAGTTTTCTAAATCATCCTCAATTACATCACAAAGTATTACTTAAGCCAAAGCTAAATTATTTAATGGAGATAAGATCATCTCTTAGACCTTTCAACAAATACCTACTGGGCATTAATTCTAACTCATTCAATAAAGCTTCCTAACCTCAACCACTTGCCTAATTTTTTTTTCCCAGCATTGTTAATTATATCATATTCAAATAAAGTTCAGAGCCAAACCATCATCCTCTTGATCTCTATAGTTTCAACTTAAATCAAGTTCCCCTACAAACTCAATATGTACGACAGTACAAGGGAGGAAGAATAAAATTCACAACCTTAATTATCTCAGCACACGCACGCATAGAACAAGAAGAAGAAATGTTTAAGCTACTCACCTAAATCAATAACAGCAGAAAAGGGAAGGAGAAGAAAGAGACCGACGGAACAAGGGAGAAGATAGCAATAGACCAGCTTCCAAACTCATGAATTGGGCCTCCAAAATACCAGACTAGCTTTTTTTGTGTGCTTGCCGCCTATGAACAGAAAGAATGGAGAAGAAGGAAGAAGGTCTGACCACACCAAAACCAAATGCATATGTGAGGCTTGAAATGAATGATGGCGGAGAAAGGAAAAGGAGAAACTCATGACAGTAGCGACGGACGGCATTCTCTAACAAACCCATGCCGATGACGTTACGAAGCTGAACAGGGAAAGGAGGGCGTCCAGTTACTGCAGCAACAGAGAAAAGAACAAAAAGACCAGCAGCAACTTCATTCAGCAATTACTGGACCCTCCTCCGTGCACCACCTTTCCAGCAACTTACTTCCCACGCAGACAACACCGGCGATAAAAGGAGGAAGGGACTTCGACCCACCACAGCAGCTAGAACAGGGAAGACGCACAGAACCATGTCAGACACTCTCAATCACACTAATGAGTTGAACGGCAACGGAAGGAAGATGGAGAGTATGGATGGAGATGATGGACAGAAATTGCGGGCCTGAAGGTTCGAAGCTTCTGGATCGAATTTTTTTTTAGCTCTCTCCTAAAATACAGAGCACGCTGGAACCGAAAGAGAGAAGAAACTAAAGGTTCTGGATCTCATTTCTCTTTTTTGTGTGCTTGCCGCCTATGAACAGAAAGAATGGAGAAGAAGGAAGAAGGTCTGACCACACCAAAACCAAATGCATATGTGAGGCTTGAAATGAATGATGGCGGAGAAAGGAAAAGGAGAAACTCATGACAGTAGCGACGGACGGCATTCTCTAACAAACCCATGCCGATGACGTTACGAAGCTGAACAGGGAAAGGAGGGCGTCCAGTTACTGCAGCAACAGAGAAAAGAACAAAAAGACCAGCAGCAACTTCATTCAGCAATTACTGGACCCTCCTCCGTGCACCACCTTTCCAGCAACTTACTTCCCACGCAGACAACACCGGCGATAAAAGGAGGAAGGGACTTCGACCCACCACAGCAGCTAGAACAGGGAAGACGCACAGAACCATGTCAGACACTCTCAATCACACTAATGAGTTGAACGGCAACGGAAGGAAGATGGAGAGTATGGATGGAGATGATGGACAGAAATTGCGGGCCTGAAGGTTCGAAGCTTCTGGATCGAATTTTTTTTTAGCTCTCTCCTAAAATACAGAGCACGCTGGAACCGAAAGAGAGAAGAAACTAAAGGTTCTGGATCTCATTTCTCTTTCCTTTGCTCTCTCTCTCTCTCTCTCTCGATATTTCTTGAATCAGATCCCCAAAAATGAAAGAAGAAACGTGTGCTCTGCCCTTTATCCTTTTCTCCCTTTATTTATTTAATTTGACAGAAGGGCATCTTAGTAATTTTATCTTAAGCTAAAGGTAAAAGGTAAAATCCCACTCTTGGCCTCATGAAAATTCAAATTAGGACCTATCAATAATGTAGTTGGCATAAAGTTTACTAAGCCACAATTTTCTCTTGATATATTTGCTCTAAAAATAATAAAAATAAACTTTAAACACCTTTTAATAATTTAATTAATTAATTTTATTTTTATTATTAGTATTATTTTTTTTCTGGTCATTACATCTGAGTTGTTGTGTATGATGAGTTATATATGTTGATAAGGCTAAAATACTAGTGTAAGTGTATGAATGTTTATTTGACTATATTAGTGAATGTTATTTTAAAATGAAATGTTAAAACCTCCCCCTTCTGTTTTTGGTATTAAAGGGTTTGAGGAATGAAATTATGGTATAATGGTATATGTCTGCTTGTGGTGTATTGTACCAATAGTCCTAAGTCCAACAAATATGATTTGGGAGTTAGGAATGACTTTTGGCACTTGTGTAGGGTTTTGGACACCCTTTTGTTGTGAAAGTTGAGAAAAGTGGTAGAAATGTGTTTGGGTGTCTAACTTCTTGGTGTGACTTATTTTAGAAGTAAAACTCATACCATTAGCTAGTTTATGAAAAGAACTTTTGTAGATACCCAGATCATATCATTCAGACGTCGGATGGAGAATTGGGGCAATCAAAAGTTGCTCAAATTCTGTTGTAAATGACAGCAGAATTTGCTATTATAAGTGTTCAACACACTGTGACGCATCGCACAAAGAGTGACAAGTCGCAATGCATTGCTTTGTTTTCAGCATCATGATATTTTTCAATGGTTTTCAACTTCTTTCACTTCTTTGAGGTATTTCATGCTTCCGAAACATGATTTTACTCTAATTAAATGTCTAATGAATCAATTTGACTCATTTTTAATTGCGAAAACTTGGGATCCTTTTTTCTTAAGCTATAAACTTGGGAATCTCTTTATGGGTTAATCCCTTAATTACATTGGATTATGGTTTGAATGGTGTTTGGAGTGAGGAGATTTTACATCTTTCTTTCCTTTTAATAGGCAAAAGGGGCAGTTTTTTTTATGACTCCATTCCATGTTTCTTGAGTCATTAACTATAGTTTTTTCCAAACTTCCTTCTTTGTACTTTAAAAGTACTGTTTCATTTGTTATTCTCTCTTGCAAGTAACTTCTCTCCTTCTAGAAACTTGAGGGGGTTTTGGGCCAAAAATTATAGTTTAGTCCAAGCACATATATAAATTCTACTCTACCTACATTTAACCTAGAGTGTTCAAATTCACTAAAGGAGGACAATAAGGCTATGCTCTATTTGCAGCAAAAGAAACCAAAAGATGTGCAGGCGTGAATGGAATTAAAGAAAGATACTTTTTTCTCGTCATCAGTAAATCACATTGTTCCATATGTGTATGTTAAGAAAACAAGTCACATGGATCCCCCTAAAAATTTTGGTTATCCAAAGTTTCTTTGATCTCTAGTTTCAAAGCTCATTAATATAAGTCTAAGCTGAATTATATTTTACTAAAATTATAATGTACCTTTCCCTTTCAAACCAGCTGTAAAATAAAGACTAAATAATAGGAACCTCTATAAAATGTTATTATATACACACTCGCATGTTTGCCAACTTAAGTTAGTGTGGGTAAGAGGAACTCTTGTCACTTAACAAGTGGTTGGAAAGTTCAAATTTTATTAATTCTTGTGTATATAGCAACTTAGTTATGAGGGGTCTACCTTTTATCAATAGTATCTAGGGGGAGATAATCACTACCATTGACAAAGGAGATGAAATTCAAGGGGCTTGTCATAGCTTTACTCTTAGATATATAAGTTGTTTAAAATAAATAAACAAGTAAAAATTTAAAAATATATGGAATTACTTACTCATTTGGTACATCCCAGCCGGAAAGATTGGTCACTTTTTGCAGAGCTTCTTCGGATAAATTTCCTGAGAAGCTTTCTTGAATATGTTGAGTAAAGGATTTTGAATCTACATCGTAAAAAACTGGAATGATCCTATCTCGTCCTGTATTATTCCAACGTCCCCAAAGATTGCCCAGTTGTTTCATATGTTGCCTCCATCTTTTCATCACCCTGTCCAGGTTTTCTTCGAACCTTTCTTCTGATCTATTAACATAGAATGTATGTCCCGGCGGCTTGCTCCTATCGTACTTTTGTTTGCCGAGGTATTCCTTCCGACAAAGAATGAGGGGCCCAACAACCTGCGACAGCTCCTTCAAACACCAAGATGAAGAAGCATAGTTTTTGGAGAGGACAAAGATCCAAATCCAGGATTCTCTCATTGCTCGGAGAAGGTGGCTTGGAAGATTGGAATCTGCCATTTCAAGCCTCTTATCATCGCCGAAGATTCTGAAACCTTGTGCTTTAAGAGCAGCAGAAAGGCTATGGATGAATCTCCGTGTATCTTCGCCTCGAAAGCTTATATATACATGATTCGGTTTTAATGATGATGATGATGAGCTGCTTTCGAAATACTCCATGGCAAAGGAATTTTGAAAGAACTGGAATTGTATGGAATCACAATTTTTTATATCACTACGGACCATAATAAATATTAAAATATGTATATCAGTGCTGGTTGTTGAAATATAATTATTTTTTTATTCTTAAGATATGAAGTCTAATTTGTGGCAAACTTAGTATACAATGAGCTGGAAGTCAAATACAATTAGTATAGGGACAATAATTAAAGATTTTTTGGAATCAAAACATCTTGAACGTGGTTTCCCTATACGAGGTGCCTGTTTGGATTTTTTTTAATTAATTTTAGATATTAAAATTATGGTTTTGTAAAAATATATTCAAACACCCATGTTATATATTAAAATTAATTATATACCTAAAATCATGTTTTCCTAAAAACATCCAAACACCTATTATGCATGCCAAAATTAATTTTAAACCCAAAACCATGTTTTTCTTTAAAATATCTAAATGCCTCTATATATGTCAAAATCAATTATAAACCCAAAAACATGATTTGTAAAATGATTTATATGATTTTTGGATAAATTTTTAGAAAAGTATGATTAAAAATATGAATTGAAAAACATATAATAGTAGCTTATGAGATAATCATAATTTTTGATTTATAACTGATTTAGGTTTGTATGAGAGTGTTTGGATATTTTAAGAAAATTATAGTCTTGAGTTCATAATTGATTTTGGCATGTATAATGAGTGTTTGGATATTTTTTGACAAATATAATTTTAGATTTATAATTAATTTTAACATGTAATAAGAATGTATAGATATATTTTCATAAAACCATAATTTTACTTGATTTTCAATTCTACTTTTCAATTCTAATTATAATTAATTTTATAAATTAATTATATACAAGTACATATCTACATTATGACTTATGGGGGCAATAAGACTAAAAACAATTAAATATAATAACCCAAAATCTTTCAATTGCCCCCTTAAAAAAATTCAATTGCTCCCTACCCTAAAAGAAAATGTTCACTTTTGCCCTCAAAAGGTCTCTCTTATCCGCTAAAAAAATATTTAACTCAAATTTTATCTATATTTTATAATCTTAAGTAAATGGAAGGAGAAATAATTTAAAAAATAAATTTCTTTAATTTTAAATCTTTTAAAAATAATTAACATTTATCTTGTGTAATAAATTTTCCCCCACTATCAAATTTTTCTGAGTCCGTCACTAATTATTTTTATTGTCTCCGAAGATTCTGAAACCTTGTGCTTTAAGAGCAGCAGAAAGGTTATGGATGAATCTCCGTGCATCGTGGCCGCCTCGAAAGCTTATATATACGTGATTCAGTTTTAGTGATGATGATGAGATGGTCTCAAAATACTCCATGGCAGGAATTGAATTGAGAGTGATCAATGTACCTGAATCACAATTCCTTATTGACGAGGCTTTGGTTCCACAGCACTATTCCTCTCAATTATTTTAACTGTTCCGTATTTTTAAATTAATGGGCAAGTCTTTGTGTGGAATCTGCCCAAACGAGTTTTGTATTGGACTATCATCACATATAAAGCTTCAACAGCTGTTCGTCAAGTGAGAAGTTAGTTGCTACTTTTGTATGATTACGTATGGCTCCGACTTTTATGGACATTTTTGCAGTCAATTTTGGCAACTATATGTTTATATAATTTAATTGAATTTAATGTTACATGGTTGATTGATAAAATATATTTCTTTTTTCTGTCCTCTTTGTAAAGCATAAAGAGAATGATTTTTCAATCTTATTTATAAAGTATGTCATTTATTTTTTTATTTCAAAATTCCTCTTTTACTCTTATTAAATGTTGGTAAAAGAAATATGGATTAAAGCATATATATATATATATATATATACATAATAAAAATAGAGTAAAAATTTTATTAAAATTTTAAATAGGGTTAATGAGATTTAAAGTGTTTCTTAGTGAAGGAGAAACATGGTAGAAGTAATTATTATAATAGAAAATTATATATAGATCCTGTGGAGCAAACTTACTTACAAATAAGTCTTATGAAATTCAGAAACTACAGCTAAATCTCATAAGACTTGCGTGTAATTTGAAATTAGGCTGCAAAAATAATAATACCCTCATTAAACATACACTACATCAATCAAAAAATTAATTTACAACTATTTCATCAGCAATTTATAACTATAATTTTAACTTTTTATAATTGTAACTTGACATATATAATAATTTCTAACATTTAATTGTTTATAACTATTTCATTAGTAATTTATAATTATAACTTCAACCTTTTATAATTATAACTCCACATATTCAATAGTTAAACCGATCATTATAATTATTGGATATATAAAGGTTCAATTGTAAAAAGTTAAAGCTATAGTTATAAATTATTTAACTAATATAATATTTATATGTTTAGTGGGGGCATTATTGTCCTTTTATACTAATTTCAAATTATACTTAAGTCCCAAGGGTTGTGATTTTTAAATTTTATGGGACTTATTTATAAATAAATTTATTCTATAAGACCTATATGTAATTTTCCCTCATTATAAATAGGATTTGAAAGGGTAAATCACACCTGCGTTGATCTCAAAAAAATTGAAAATTACACGTGGGTTCTATATAACATATTTATTTACAAGTAAGTGTTATAAATTTATAAAAATACTCCAAAGTCCTATGAGACTTAGGTGTAATTAATTTTTCTTGTGAAAGGACCTAAATACCCTTCAACTCAACTCCTTTAACTGAAGTTGACCGACAACATGTGACTGTTGACCAGTCAATGTTGTCCAATAAATTTTTTTGAAAGATATTTTTTATTGATGTATCTATATTTTAATATCTACAAATCAAACATTTAAAATTTATAAGTGAATTGCTTTGAGAAACGAAGTGGAATGCTGGAATAACCTAGATCGTACTTCTTGTTATCATCAATTTCAGGAGCAGCCGACCAAAGCCGCGATCGTTGAATTTGCAGGTTAATTTCATCATCATCACCACCTTTGGAACTCTAGTAAACATGGATCGATCATTATAATAAGCTACTTTTGAGATTCTACATGGATTTAGATGTAAGAACTCAATACAGATTTCAAAAAAATTATATACTTAACCTTATATACATAAAAACTAAAGTATTTATTTCTAATTGAATCTGGATGTTTTATAAAATATTTATCCCATAACAAATTCTTGATATTAATATTCTTAATACATTAAAATCCAATTATTTTAATTTAATTGAATAAAATATATTAAACATACAAAACTAAATATATAAGTCTTGTCTTAAACACTTCAGAGCTCCTAGGGAATAATGATCTCACCACAAGTTGAATTATCTTTGATATATTTGTCTCATTAATTTACTCATTTGGTCTTTATCCACTAAAGGCATCTTTACCTACTACGTACATTTGACATTTGTATAGAAAGTTTAACGGAATCCTATTACTGTGTACTCCTGTCGGTTCCCTTGTTTTATTAATCTAACATTTTAAATTAAAATATGATTACAATCGTGTGAAAATTAGATTGGTTATTATTGAATGTGTTAACACATTATTAGTTCGTAATTTCATAATTTGTTCTCGAAGCCCAAAGAAAGTCATTCTGAGAAACCAAAAAGCAGTAAATAATGATTATCCAAGTCAGGCCAATCAATGCTTATCTAAGTCAGGGAGGCGATAATTATACTCATCTGATTCTATTTATAAATCACTTCCAACATATTTTATCAATATTAAGAAAAAACTTTAAAATTTATTAACTCTGTCTTAAAATTGAATAAGTTTTCAACTTTACCTTTATTAAATATACACACTTCAATAATATATTTTCTCTCTCTAACAGTTAATGGAGAGTAAAAAAATTTATAATAAAAATTTAATGACATAACTTATAAATAAGATTAAAAAAATTCTTCTCTCTGTCTGCCATATAAATAAAACCAGAGAGAGTACTGTGAATTCACTAATGCAAAAACTTTCCGAGTATTTATGTCTAAATTAAATTAAAGCAGGTAGATCTTTGATATATTATTTATTTTATAATAAACTCTGTTATTATTAATATATTAAAACTCACTTATCTTGATATGATTAGATAAAATTATATTGACTATAAAACTAAGTACCTATGCCATTCCCAAATTTAAAAGTTACATATATATTTTTAAAATAATTTTAAGAACATATTCCTTCCTTATCATAATATAAATTGCTTTCTAGAAGTATTTCTTGATCCAAAATATAAGACATTGGATAAAGTTTATATTTTTTTCATTTATATCCTTACTTTTTTTAATTTAATTATCTTTAAATACTTCATATTTAAAGATCATGCATGTGTTATTAAGAATTCTTGAAAGGGTATAAGTGAAAAAATATGAATATTTTTAAAAAATTAAGGTTTAAGCTAACATTTTTTGTAAACCATAAACTAGTTAATAATGACATATATATTGTGATTTGGAGGGAGTAACTATTATTTCTTAGCAAGTGTGAAGATGGTTAAGTTTGCATCAATATATTCCCTAATTCTCCTCCAGTCGAGTTATAAACAGTGCTGACAGACTCATTTTACTGCAACAATGGACAGTGCCAACTCAATTTCGCCGAATGGCTCAATTTAAGCTACTTTCTCCCAACTTAACCACCTATTTCATGATTAGCCTTTAGTTAATTGATAAATCCACCTAATACCCACTGGTTAATAGTAGGCATCGTGAGTTTTTGCCCATTTGTCCGTAAATTAAAAGAGTTAATTTTTACTTTTCTCTAGGTCTACACATTAGACTATTCAATCTAAATTAAGGAGTTTTGACTTTTCTCCCTTGCGAGATTAGAGTACCTTTAAGTTCCCTCAGCCTCTCTAGGATGCCTGCAATCGTTTAATGCATAGGTTAGAAGCTCTCACCCTTTCATTTTGGCCCTAGATCAAGATATCTTCTACTCTGGGTCATTTATTTCGGTCCTGATGAGAACAGTGCTCCCCCATGGCTTCAAAACGCACAACGTGAATGAACGACTTTACTTCACCAGCACCGGTGGAACAACTTTGTCGCTTTGAATTCAATGAGAGGCAATGTTCGTTCCATTTGCGTGCACTGTGCAAATGAAAAAGTGCTTGAAGTTGTTGAGCCAAAATTTCTCAAATGCCATCAATCTCCTCTTGATTATAGGGGTCCAAGCTATCAAAAATTTAAAGAATAAAATCAATTAAAATAATATTAGTTAAGTGCAAGAATTTAAACTGAAAATACAAAGCCAAATAAATACCTTGTGCAATTTTGCACATAAGTTTTCATATAATCGATGTTAAAGGTTTAACTGATAATTATAAGTTTGCCACTGCCTTTTTTTTTTACAATGGATTTTTTTATAACTAATGTTAAAAGGCGATATAAATTCTTATTTTTACAATAGTGAGGAAAATGATGTGGCAGACAGCTAAGCTTTATTAAATTAAAATAATCTCCATTATAGTCAACAAACAGTCAACTCTTAGTGCTAGTTAAATTTGGGCAACATTGTCATGGTTTTAAAAGATTAGGGACAACATTGCTCTTTTCGTCAGTTTAAAATACCAAACGCCCCATGCGTGATACTTCGAGAGCAAATTTGCATGTTAACCCAAGATTAGAATGGAAGAATTAACATGTTGATTTAAATTTTTAAAAAAATAATTATGGAATGTATATGTTTTAAAGTAGGAAAAATTATAGTTTAACACTTCAATTAGAGTCATAAAATGCCTATACTTTAAAATTTTTAATGATTAATATGTTTTTTTAATTCATCGTTATCTTAAATGTAAAATTTGGAAATTTGAATTAAAAAACAAAAAAATGACTTTATATCCTAAAAATTGTTCATAACAATTAGCTTTCGTTCAAAATTCAAAAGAAATAGATTGATTAAATATGTATAAAATTATCAAGATTTTCAGGGCTAAAAAATACTTTTAAGAGTGCCCATTTAAAAGCGCTTATATGTAAAATAAAAGGAGGAATATTTCAAGCACTTTTATATTAAATCGCCCTGAAATATTGGACATATTGGAGCACTTTTTGAACAATTACTCCTATATGTTCACTTGAAATCATTTTTAAAAATATTTAATCTATCGGAGCACTTACATCGAAAGTGCTCCAATAGGTGTTAATAAGGAAAGAATACCTATTTAATAAAGGGTTAAGGGTTATTTTTGTCCTTTAATTTTACCTGAAAAGTCACTAGGAATCCTAAACTAAACCATGAGTCAATTTTATCCTTCAACATTAAAGATTCCTCTTTCATTGTCCTGACATTAAAAACACTTGATGTCCGTTAGTCATCATGGGTCCCACTATTTTTTAAAATATTTCTTATCTAGTTAAGAGTCATTTTTATCTCTCAACTTTTATTCAAAAATGGGCACCCTTAACTAAAATATTTTATAATAAAAAATATTAAAAAATGTAACATGAACCCCATTAATAGTCAACTAATAGTGAGAAAATGATAGTGTCATGAGGGAAGGAATCTTTAAAATTGAGAGACAGAATTAACCTATAATTGAGTTCATGATCCCTAATGACTTTTCTCAAGTAAAATTGATGGGCAAAAATGACCCTTCATTCTTTAATAAATTTAGTCTATAGAAGCACTTTAATAGAAGTGATCCATAGGCTTAACCTATAGGAGCACTCTTTCCAAAAGCACTCCTTAAGGTTGTGCAAGATGCCTGAAAGCCCAAAATGCCTTACCTGGCCCGATGGTTTTTTGTCTTGTCCATGGCCAAAAAAAAGCTACCGGAAAAGAAATAGGCATGGTCAAGCTACGCTTGAACCACAGGTTAGGTAGGGTTTAAGGTTGGGTAGTCCATCCAGTCGACCCTACTTGACTTGAGCTATATATATTATGTTTTTAAAAAATATAAAATGATGTCGTTTTGTTAGCTAGCAACACAAGTGGCAAATTGAAATGAAATGAAACCCTAGGTTCTACCTAGTCCTTACTTTCTTCGCCTATTCTTAGCTGTCTCCCTCTTCTCTCGTCTCTTCTCCTTAGCTCACATCGCAGTCCACAGCCTTACACTCATAGTCCAGTCACTCTTTCACCACGCAGGACTCGGCGGCGTTGTTCCTCCTTCCATCTCAGCACCTCTCTTTAATGACTCTTTCCATCGTGAGTGAGAGCTTCACCTATTTTGACAACTCAATCTCACGATCTCAAACTTGCAATGAGCTTCAGAGCTTAGGTTTGCTTGGGTTGGTCTCTGCAAAGCTTGGATTGGTTTCTTTGTATCTCAGGTAAGCAATCTTCAATCTTTGCTTTGCCTATTCTCTTCTCTTTCACTCTCTTAGATCTTTAACAACATTGATGAATGACAAGTAGATACAATGAGTCTATCGTAAGTATTTTTGATCTTTATTTGTGGCTCCATGATTTCAGGTGTTTAGTGTTGTTAGAGTTTTTGTTCTTAATCTTCAGTAACCTCTATGCTAAAAGAAGTGTTTTCTCTTAATTACAAGGGTGTAATGTTGGCCTAGAAATAAAGTGTTTGTCCTTAAAGGAATTTAATGCTCATTTGGAATTTTGTGTGATAGTCAAATTCATGCAACAAGCGGGGGATCTACTTTCTTTTCTTTTTCTTTTTTCTTTTTAATACAATCGGGGCCAAAGCCCTAAAGCCCATCTCATCCCTGTACAACAAGCGGCATAAACCCTCAGGAGGATCTACTAATAGTTGGATGACATTGGTTTGTAAATAAGTCCCTAAAATTTGGCTCAGTTGCACAAATTCCCCAATGCCATAGAAACCAAGTAGTTACAGCAAACACTACTCTCCAATCCCCATTTTCCCCTTGTTTTCTCTGTAAATTCTGCAGAACAATCTTTTATAGGCAACGCAAAAAAGTGAGCCACCACACTCTTGCATTTCAGACCCTTCCATCTCAAACATACAGGCGAAGCATTAAGTATTATATTCCTTCAAACAGCAGTCAACAAATTAAATTTCTCTCTATGTATGCGTTCACGTGGATACAAATTTCAAATCAACAGTCAATATTATATTGCCATTTTTGTTGGCGCATCATTATTTTAGACTGGGAAACAAAAGGCTCGTGACCAGCTTTGATTCCATCAACCGACCTTTTTCATGGAGGATTTCAATCTCAACTCATCATCAATTATAAAAAAGGGAAAATCGCACATAAGGTTCCAAAATGGAAAAAAAATCATATCTACAGAGTTAATATATTTTGAATTTTTTATTTTTTTTTCTGCTCTTTAGTCATACAAACTATATATAATAAATAATGGACAATATGTTACTCAAGTATGAACCTTGTCATGTTCTTTACAGATATTATGTGGTACATAAATCTACAAAACTTGTATATTATTATTGTTGAATTTAACCACACGGACTATGTATAATAAATGAATATTGTATTGTTTACTTATGGATCTTGTCACATTCTTTATTAACATTGTATTGTACATATACTTAAGAAACGTATACATTATTGTTTAACTTAATCACATAGATTATGTATAATAAATGGACATTATGTTGCTTAAGTGTGGACCTTGTCATGTTTTTAACAGATATTGTGTTGTACATACACTTAAAAAATTTATACATTTAGAGCAAATATATCTTTTCACAAAGAAACAAATTTGCACTTTGGGTCTATGGAACTACATAAACATTTCAAAATATATTGGACCTTTGGTGCGATTGTCCCAAAAAAGAAAAATCACAGATAGGCTCTTCTCTTGGGAGTGGGGTGACAAGAACCTCAACGTATACGTTATTCCAAAATTACCACCACAATTTCTCAAAGGAATTCAACAATCATCCATTTTCATTGTCGTCTCCTCCAAAAACTACGCATCTTCACGGACCATGACACATTGTTTTCCCAGTTGTCTACATTAATGTAGAATCATATAAAGCACAATACGTCTGAATGACTCCTACCAATTGAAAAGCTAAGCGGCCTTTTCGCTGAACATGAACAAATTAAAGGTTCTCAGCAATTTATTACACCTGATACATTTAGCAATGAATTAATTTTTTTTTTTTTTGGCCAAGAGCAATGGATTAAGTTTCAAACCATCAAAATATAAGATTGGTTATATGCATTAAATCATAACAATATGCACCAAAACCACCGGTTACAGCTCAGCTTCTGTACCACGACATCATCTTTTCCAGTGCCAATGCTTGTCCTAATAAAAAATAAATAAAACAAATCGTCAAGAATTAATTATCAAAAGGGGCATGCTAGCTGGTGTCTTGTCTCTGTCAACTTTTTACCTACTTCATCACAATCACTAGATCACAAAGCTTAATGGAGTAACCCAACAGTCAACAGAAGAAAAGGTATAATAAATCAACAGAATTTTTAATTTAATTTTTTATCAAAGGCGCACCCACTGTCTTAGAAATTAGAAACCCATCTTCATATCATCATGATCTCTTTCGGGCTTTTACAATAGTAATTCGCAAAGAAATTAAAAGATCTTCAACAGCTCAGTGAGCAACAGTGACTCAAGGTTGCTGATCATCAACCCCGAAAGGCTTTCAGACACATGGAGTATTTTATTAGTGGATCATCATCATCATCATCATCATCTTCAAGGCCGATCCATGTTTATCTGAGTTTCAAAGGAGACAATGAAACTTGCAGTTTCACAGATAGGCTCTGGGCTGCTCTTGAAAGCAACGATTTGAATACCTTTTGGGATGGCAAGAAGCTTGAACCGAGTGATACCATCTTTCTTCCACATCATTTTCTTAAAGCAATTCGACAATCCAACATTTCCATTGTGGTCTTCTCCAAAACTTATGCTTCTTCCGTATGGTGCCTTGAAGAACTCTTTGAGATCGCTTCACGCATTCATAAACCACGATACACTGTTTTCCCAATTTTCTATGGTGTTGATCCATCAGAGGTACAAAACCAGAGTAATGTTTCCAAAATAGCTTTTGCTGAACATGAACAAAGATTTGTAGCACATTTACACAAGGTACAAAGTTGGAGGTTGGCAATGAAACGAGTGGCCAACCTCTCTGGCTGGGATGTACCATCCGAGTAAGTAATTTACTCTCGATTTTTTCTATATCATAACTTTCATATCTCTCCGTAGGCAAATTATAGAGATCTTCTCATAAATGTTGATCAATTAGTAAAAAAGATCGTCGACTATGTGATTAATTTGGTGCTTTTATTGTTTTAATTCCCATATTCAGCTCAGGGCCACAAGTTATTGATGACATGGTTAGAGAGGTCAAGAGAAAAATGCGTGAATTAATTTATGCTGATGTTGACCTAGTAGGGATACAATCTCAAGTGAAAGAAGTAGAAAAACTTCTAGACTTGGGTACAAATGACTCAGTTCGAGTTGTGGGCATCTGTGGTATGGGTGGAATAGGGAAGACAACTCTTGCCAGAGTTCTCTATGATAAGATCTCTCACTTTTTTGATGCTTCTCATTTCTTAGTTTATGGAGATGAATTTGATATGAGCTCGACTCTAGTGCATGGCAAGAACATTCTTTTAGTTCTTGATGATGATTTTGCTATTTATGAAGTTCAAATACCACTAATTCTGGCTATAAAAGCTAGCTTGTTAGGTGGAGGGAGTAGAATCATCATAACAACGAGAGATGAAAGACTCCTTCATGTGTTTGAGGGGCACAAAATTTATAGGGTTAAACTATTAACTCAAGATGAAGCTCTTCAATTATTTTGTAAAAAAGCTTTCAAATGTTATTTTCCAATGAGGGGTTACGAAGAGAAAATAAATTATGTGCTAAAATATGCCAATGGTCTTCCATTAGCAATTGTCGAATGGACTCATACTTGTATAATAGGAGACCTTCAACATGGGACATGATTGACCTCGAAAAGGTTGTTAACTTCATAATTATGAAGGTCCTAAAAAGAAGCTTTGATGAACTAAAATCCATATGGAAGGAAGCATTTTTAGACATAGCATGTTTCTTCATAGGGAAGGAGATTAAATTTGTAGAAGGAATTTTACAGTCTTGTGGTTTTCTTGGGGTTCAACTTTTGGTTGAAAAATCACTCATCACCATTATAGATCAAAAAATACAAATGCACAGTTTGCTTCAAAAAATGGGAAGAGATATTGTTCGGCATGAATTCCCTTCTAAGCCAGAAGAGTGGAGCAGATTATGGAACTTTGATGACATTTATAGTGTTATGCACAATGACACGGTAAGTTTTGCCAGTACATTTTTTGGTTGAAAGATTAACATTATAATGTAATAAAATTGAAGTAATCTCACTTTGCGTCAATTTTATATAAATGTATCTGTTCACAGGCTACTTTTAAAGTTGAAGCTATAGTCTTGGATCTAGAAGATTCACAACAGAGTCGGCTAAGGGTCGAAAGTTTATCACAAATGAGAAATCTTAGACTGCTCATATTTTGTAACATGAAATTTTCTGAGAGTCCTAAAGCATCTTTCAAATCGACTCCGATATATTTCATGGCACCAGTATCCTTTCCCTTCTGTACCATCAAGTTTTGATCCATTTTCTCTCAGGGAATTGATTTTGCCTGATAGCTGCATCACAAGCATATGGGATATTGAAGAAAAGGTATACTTCGTAACTCCATCACAAGTAAATGGAAACTACCTATCTATAAGCAATAATAAAAATGTTTTTGCTAACTGATAAAATATATGATTTCTATTTAATACATGACAAGCTGTTATATACTTCTATTTTTGTTTATCCATGTATATATTCTTTCCGGTCCTAATATAGGGCAGAGTTTAAAAGCCCTATTTGGTCTTCAATATAAGGAAAAAATGTAGTAGTTAACTTTATCGTGATATTATCCCCTCCTTAATTGCACCAAGTTATAATTGATAGACACACTTCTTGCATCGTTTTCAGGTATCAGCCCCCTCACACTGGAGACGAGAAAAGGTAATGTTAACTGCACCATGTGCATCGTTCGTCTAACTCGCATACATTGTATATTTAATTAATTGTCAAGGACACTTTTTTCATTCACAGATTTTCAATTGCTTGACAAACATGAATATTTGTGGCTCCAAAGATTTAACCAAGATGCCAAATTTTAAAGGATTTCCACAACTTGAGAAGCTAGATCTTGAAGGATGCACGAAATTGTCACAGCTAGATCCATCTGTTGCTGATCTTTTAGAGCTTAAATTCTTAAATTTGAGAAATTGTACTAATCTTGATAGCATTCCCAATAAGTTATTTTCACTACCTTCTTTAGAAATTCTAAATTTAGCTTGTTGCTCCAAGTTGGCTGATTGTCTTGACTTTTCTTCTCTTGTGGATGTTGGTGAAAGAGACTATTCAGGAATCATTTCCTCAGAAGAGACAAAAGCTATGTAGAAACAAATCTATTTAAGTGCACTATATGGTACTCAGAAATGTTTGTATCAGTAATCAATCAAGTTTGTTTTTCATAGATCTGATCCTCTGCTCCCTCATACTTGCTTAACTCCTTCCATTTAATTTGTTTATTAATACCATATATAATTAACTTTCTTACTGTTGAATGTTTCGACGAGCATCCTCTATATAATGTTGTACACACAAAAGAGAGTAATTGAGTGTTTGTTGGTCAAAAATTTGAAAGATTACAGTTTATTGACATTAACAACTAATGATTCAAAATTTTGATATCTTAGAACACTCATAGTTCCAATATTGATTAATTCACTACGCAAAGTGTCCAGCTCAGTCTACTTCAATTTGGTTTGGAAATTTTTTTTATTGCATTTCTTATGTAGTTATATCTAATTGTCTATGCTCTTGTCCCCCAATAGGGACGTAAAAGGCCCTCTAAAAATGACTTTATAAGATGCTCCCTAACTTGAAAATCTTGAATCTTCTTGGCTCTCCAAAAATTTAGTTATGATTTTGGAAGTGTAGATCTTAAAGGATGTGCTGGATTATTGGAACTCCATCCCTTAATTGCTGAAATATCAAAGCTCAAATTCTTAAATTTGCTGGGAAACTACATATTTCTACAGTTTCAGTAATTGAGGGATGGATTGACGACGAACCTTTTTTCCCCCTTCACTTTTTCAAGTTTTTTCATTCTCTCTCTCTCTCTTCCCAGATTATCTTCCCCGCTTCTCTTTTATTTAATATTAAAATTTTAGTTGATAAATGTAATGAGTCTCGTGAGGATTTTTACAAGTTGAGTGACATTTATAAGTGTGAAAGGTGCTTACATTTAGTATCCATTGAATTTCAATAAGAAGATACTTATAAATAATAAAAATTCTTATCTTAAAAACCGAGTTAAAATAATTGAAACTCAATCTGAAAACTGAATCTTACAAGGCTGCACACAATTACGGGAATGGGGAAAATGGCTCGTCATCATTTAAATTATGCTTGTTGTTCTCTCTCTTCTCTCTCTCTCTCTCTCTCTCTCTCTATATATATATATATATATATTAATTTAGTTTGGTTCTGTAATGTGAATAGGAAAAGTGACAATAAAATTCTTTCAAATTATATAAATGATAATTTAATCTCTTAAAATGCCATAATACCAATAAACTCCCTAGAAACCTCTTTGTTAATAACTTTTTTAGAAAAAAGATCATTTTACCTTTATTGACAAATTACAATTTCTTGTCCAATTTTTGCAATTCACAGAATAAAAGTTGTGATTCCTTAATAAAAGTTGTGATTGGGTCATGTTATTTTCAATAAGGGTAAAATGGTCTTTTTTTTAAAAAAAAGTTATTCACAAAGAGGTCTCTTAATGACTTCATTGATATTATAATATTTTGAGAGATTAAATTATCATATATATAATTTAAAAAAATTTTATTGTTATTTTTTGATATAAATATCTGTACATATGTTTACATTATGTTACAGTGAGAACTGTGTATTGACGCCAAGTCCAAGAAACGCGTGGAATATCTAATCTGAAGTAACAAAGAGAATTAAATATATTCACCCACACGAGAACAGTAATTTAGCAAAAGCTGGCAACAAGTTGATAATATAATTAATCTCAAGTTCCGTACCTCACATTTTCATGTTTTAATTCAATTAATTCCACTGACCTATTACTTAATAAATGAAACTAAGAATACTAGAAGGTTTCAAGGTGGGGACTGGTGGGACTTGTTTCTCCTCTTAAATTAATCAAAACTTAGTTCATTTGGATCAAGGTTTTTATTTTGACCAAACATTTGGATCAAAGTTGAATCCATGGTTTTAAAATTAATAGGGTAAAACGCCTCTAAATTATAAAAAAGGACCAAAAAATTTTGTTGGTCCTTTTTTGGTAATTTCGAGGTCTTTTTTTTATCATTTTTTGATCAATTAACGATCAAAATTAACTTTTGTTAACGATAGAGACTAAATTATATTGTTTTTAAAAATTGAAAGAAAACAATACTAAAAATAAATTTAAGGTTTCAAATGCTCTTGGACTTATAGTTTAGAGATTCATTTTCTCTTTTAACCAAAATAATAATGTGAGATCTCATGTTATAATAGATTATTGCTTATCATTAAAAAAAATGAAAGATTTTAAATTTTGATGGATACTTGATAATATGGGATATTGTCACACCCCGGTATTAGAATTTGAGATAAATTCACATTTTATAAGCCTTAATTAACCAATGATTAAACTAAATTATCGATATATAATTTATTTAGTTCGTAAAGTATTAAATATTTTCTAAAAATTTTGATAGAGTCTTCTCTATAATTTGGACCTTTTGAAATTTTTACAATAGCAAACCTATCAGCCAATCTAGCCAAGGAGACTACCTCTAGAGGTGTCAATTAGGGCCGGCCCTTCAAGGGCCAGGGCCTAAACGGGCTAGCCCTTTTAAGCCCAATTACATCTCAGGGCTCTATTTTTACTAGCCCGGCCTTGACCCTCAGGGCTGAAGGGCCGGCCCTCAGGGCCTCAGCCCTATTTATTTTTTTTAATTTTTCAATTTAAAAATTTAAAAAAACATATTTAAAATCCTAACAGTTATTACACATCACATTAAGTCTAAAAAAATAAAATAAAATCAATTCACATAACAAAAATTTTAAGTTTGATAAAAAAAATAACATCCCAAAATCAACTCCGATATCAATTACATGTTGATAGCATCATTAGCTAAATCTTGATGATTTTCATCATCATCAACATCAATATGATTTGATCATTGTCCTTGTGGATCCTCATCAATGACAAATAAGTTAAGCTTTTCATATCTTCCTTTTTCATCCTCATTATTTGCAATAAATAATAAACCAAAATCATAATTTCAAGTTATTAAAAGAATGCAAAAATATTCAAAGTAAGCAAATAATAATGTGCGTGTCTATTGTCTGAACTAGAGAGTGAGTGCTGAGCTTGAGTGATGTGGTGTCTTCTTTTTATATATATATTTTTATGTTTTTTTAAATGTATTAGGGCTTAAAAAGGCTGGCCTTGACCCTAACCCTTTGTTTGGATGGGAAGAAAAGTTGAATGGAAAGAAAATGAGAGGAAAGAAAATGGAGAGAAGAGAAAATTGGAAAGAAAATATTATCACTCCTTTTGTTTGGATGGACAAGAGAAAATAGGGAGGAAAGAAAATGATCAGATATAATAATAACTATAATGCCCTTATATCAAAATATATCATGTTTCATGTAATTATATTTGTGAAAATAAATTGAAAGCAGAAATTATATTAAAATTAACATAATCAAATTAATTTAAAATCAAATTATTTGTTAAAAATATATTTTTATATTATATTTTAAAATCAAATAATTAAAATTAAATTAATGTAATTCTAGACACTTGATCTAGCCAATGGCTAAATTATTTAATTAAATAGTTAAATTTATGTAATTCATAACTATACAAGTTAAAAATTATAAACCAAACTATTTAATTAAAATTAAATTAATGTAATTAAGTAGTCTCTTGAGAGTCAGAGCGCAAAATAAATAAGAGAGAGAGAGAGAGGGTAGACAGTGGAAAAAAATTTTACTCCCAAAATCTCTTCACTTTTGGAGAGAAAAGTTGGAAGAAAAAAACAGTGGGTCCCACACCTTATTTTCCTCCCACTTTTTCTTTCCTCTCATTTTTTCTTCCCTATCCAAACAAGGAAAAATCTGTTTTCTCTCCATGTTTTCTTTCCCCCCATATTTTCTTCCTAACCAAACAGAGCATAAAGGGCCGACCCTTTTATTTTCGGGCTTTACCTTTTTAAAGACCGAAGTAACGGCCTGGCCCTCAATTTTTTCAGGCTTAAAAGGACCGGCCTTATGGGCTTGACCCTAATTGACAGCTCTACTACCTCTACACTAGCAAAATAATACTACAATCTAACTATGATATACGAGGAGTATGAATTACTATTGTACAATATAATACATAATTATATCAAAATAAATGCTTAATGTGTGTTTCCATATTCCAAAAAGCAGTACTACCCCTCAATAATCAATAAGAGGCACAAGGTCAGCTCCAACATCTAAGATCAAATAATTTTTTTTGGTAAATAGAATCCCAATTTACAGTTAAAGGAAATAATGGAAAGCAATCAATGAGCCAATTATAAATTGACTAAAATAATCAATTGAAAATAATATAAACCTTGAATACATAAATACAAATGAAATAATTAAAATTTTAAATTATTAAATTTCTTCACACACTTAAACTGTCACGTCCCAAAAAATGAGAGTGACCGGCACGGAATGTGAATCATATCACACATCCCTTAAGCCCTAAAACGAATTCTTCATATTACTAAAACATAATTATGTTTATATTAAATTATAACATGCATGATCATTTTCATAAAAGCTTTCTTATTCTTGTAGAAATTTCAGCAGAACTTCCCTCGTAAATAGGACCATCCCGAAAATTTTACAACAAAACGTTCAATCAAAAAAATCACAATAACCAGGAGCTTTGCTCCTTCCAGTCAATAAACAAAGTATATAACAAAATAAGAACCCTGACTATAGTCTATGTGGAGCACCTAATTATATTTTTCATAATATGATACATAAATTTCATATTTGTATCAATAGAAGATATTTACCAAAGAAATCTACACATAATTCAGCAAAAGAAGTCCTTCAGTGATCAGCAGGACGTACAGCCTTAGCTACGCTATCTGAGACCAAAAATAACTTTCTAGTGAATAACGTCCCAACCATAATTTTTTTAAAAAAATCAAAATTAATAGCTACAACATTTATATAAATTAAAGAAAGACAATTCAATATAAACAAATTTTGTAAACTTGGAATAAAAGTTCTGTATAACTTCAACATCAATAAACTTTAAATTTATAATGACAAAACAACCTTAACATTGGATCTTGACAAGTCAAAACGATGAAATAAATAAATAAGAACAACAATATTTACCAATTTAAAACCATTGAATATAAAATCACCAATTAATTGAAAATACATATTTTTGGGGATTTATCAGAACAATTCACAAACGTGGACACACAGTCCACGATAGTAAATATCCAAACGCGGCTTATGCCACAAAGACAAACGTGGACACACAGTCCACGAAGGTAAGTAACCAAACGCAACCGAAGCTACGAAACAAACGTGGACACACAATCCACGAGGGTAAGTAACCAAACGCAGCCGAAGCTACGAAACAAACGTGGACACACAATCCACGAGGGTAAGTAACCAAACGCAGCCGAAGCTACGAAACAAACGTGAGTACAATGCTCACGAATAATCATCCCTCCGTTCCACGTGCGTTGGCCATCGCACGGGGCTAGCACCTCCTATAAACACCCTGCTAGCTAGGTGTACCATGGCGCGCCAAGGGCTAACGGAACTGCCGTTAGCAACCAGTGTTCCGTATAAAGTCCCCTTCTTTAAAATCATCTTCAAACATGCGAGAAAATCATCACTTTCAAGATACAGTTCTCATTCTCAAAATCAAACTCGCATGAATACTTTTAAGCATTGAAACTTTCCAGAATAAAATTTCATATCCAACGCTCATGCTTGCCTTTATCAAATAATCAAAAAATTTCAAAGTTGAACTCACAAGAATCATTCTCTGTATCAATCCAATATTTGATAAAATAAAAATCTCACAATCAAAGTCCAAACTTGATTTAATTGATCAAATAATATTTCAAATTTGGTAAAGCTAATTTCTCAAAATAAAGCAATGTTAATCAATAAATATCCAATAATCGCATTAATGCTATTAAAATGATTTTTAAAAAAATGTAATATTTTATTAAAGAAAATTTTAATTGAAAAAAATCAGTTGGGACGCTATCCACTTACCTGTAAAGTTTTCAAGTGCATAACTTACTTCCAAACTAGTACTGAAGGTCAATGCTTTGTCCTAAAATTCCTAATATTCAAATAGTATCATTGTTACTTCACCAATCATGCTTTACTACCCAAAATATTTAAATCCAAAATAATTTAAAGAAATAAAAGAAAGAAAACTTTCACTTTTATCTTTTTTAACATTGCATCAAATATCCCAATGATATCCCAAAAATGAATATTAAATTAGCTCTTAAATTGCAAACTCAAATATCTCTCCCAACAACCTCTAATTTCTTCTTTAACTTTCATCACAAAGAACAAGTGCTTAACATGATTGTTTAATCAATGATGGCATATTTGTCATATATATTTGTCACTTTATTTCAAAATCTTCCTCTTAATGCTCAATCAAGTTCTTTTTCTCATTAACTCCCTTTCCAAAGGTTTTCCTTATATCTATAATTAATCTATTCACCTCCCAACACCCATCAAAGAGAATAATTATCTCCTAATGATAGTTTATTTAATCAACAATATCCCCATCATATATGTATATATATCATACCACTACATAACAAAAATCCCTCTTGGTCATCTTGTCAAACACTTTGTGGCCATTAAACTTCAAATCATTACCAAGCTTCTTCCTATATGGTTCCACTTCCCAAAATTCTCCAACATAAATATATAAATATATCAACTTCTCAAGTTCCATTCCTCATTCCTTTAACAAAATCAATATAAATTTTGACATAGCCCAAACTAAAATTCAGCTTAGTTCCACAACCCCCTTTTTTTTTCCACAAACATGTGCAGCAGAGGAAGAAGGAAAATTCGTAATATTTCAGGACCTCAATCCAAAATCACACGCACATAGCAAAGAGAAGAAAGATCGAAGCTCCTCACCTCAAGTAGCCAACGAAACACAAGCAAGGAAGAAGAAGATAGATTATATGGCTGAACAGGGGAAGAATTTTGGCCACTCAAAATTGAGGAAGACGAAGTCGACTGCAGCGAAGAGGGAAGAAGAAGAACTTGTAGGAAGATCCTCCTACTCTGGCGGATCAAGCTCCTCACGCACCTACCGGAAGTGCACCGTCGACAGTAGAGGAGGCAGAACAAAGAATGAAATAGAAAGAAAATCTTGAAGCACCCACACACAGCAACACGGACAGAACTCATGCACCTGTCGACGGCGAGCTGATCAGCGGAGGAGGAAGAATGGAGAACGTCGGTGACCAGATAGGATCGGAGAAGAGCAGAGGCGGTGATCTCTCTCTGCTTTTTTTTTCTAGATTTCTCTCTCTCTTTCTCGCGTCTGGTGGTTCCCGAAAATGAAATGGAAATGGAAATAAAAAGCTGATCATGGAGAATGATAAAAATTACAACAAAGAGCACAAGGAAAAATTACAATAAAAAGCACAAGGAAAAATTTCAAGCAATGACACAATGAAAATTACAAGAAATGGCACAATTTTTTTTTTTTAACAAAACAAAATTGAACTTTTTCTTAGTAGAATTCGAACTCTGGACCTTTAAAAAAAATATTACTAGCAGGAGTTTCAATAATTAACCACTCTCTATTTACTATAAAACTAATTTAAAATTTAAGATCATTACATAAACATCTTAGGATATATATATATAGATATATTGCTCAATATAAAGTCCATATATAGTAAAAATAGCAGTTTGCTTTCTAAGATCAAATTTAAAGAAAATATTTTCAAAATTCCTTCTTTAGCAGGACTTAATTAGAATGATTAACAAGTGTGAACACATAATCTATAAGGGTAAATAACATAGCTGGCTTGGCAAGAAGCCATGAGAAAGAGGCACAAGCATAAAGCTCACAAATAATGGGCATGGATTATATCCACAAAACTTCATCCTCCAATCCACGTGTGTTGGCCGGCACATAGGGTTAGGGCCTCTAATGCACTATGCTAGTTAAGTGTACCATGACAGGTCAAGGGCTAATAGGACTGTTGTTAACATCTAGCATTTTGAACTCAATCTCCCAAATTAAATCAAGCATGCATGAAGTTAAAATATTCATTTAAAATCATTTCTTTCAAAATATAATATTCAACTATCAAATTTTCTTTTCAATTTTTCTCCATGCTCAAATCACTGTGTTTACTACTATCATATAAATTACAAAATTTAAACCACAAAAAAGCTTAGAATAAATAATTGATTAATAATATACTAGATCCAAATATTCCTTAGTAATAGCATTATTCTTAATGAAAATAAAATAGATTCTGTAATGAACCAATTAATACAAAAGTGAAGTTATAACAATAGGATTAATAAGAATATTTATACAATTTATAAAGGAATAATATAAAAATTTTATAAACACTTTGTAAGAATTTATTTGAGGCACTAATTACTCACCTGGGGGTTTCCAAAATCTCTATAGTCCGATTATGTAATAACCCATAAATTTTTTTTTATAATAATTAGAGATAGAAGCTTGTGTTTCAATGGTAATTATATTAATTCTTAGAAGAAATATAACAATATGGAGTGTTGGTGTAGTGGTATAATTCAAGCAACCTAACCATTAAGTCCCAAGTTCGAATCTGGTTAAGACAAAAGCGGGATTTTATTTTGTTTTTGCTTTTCAAAATTACCAAACTGCCCCTCTTCAATCTGATAAAAAAAAATTCATCCCTTTTTCGATCATTCCAGATCTGTCAAATGCTCTGCCTTATGCTTCATTCCTTTACTCTTCCTCTGTGTCTCTGCTTCCTTCCCTTGCGTCCTCAATCATCGCCAGCGTGAGCCTTTGCTGTCAATCTGTCCATAGATAGCCGGAAGTGAGCTTGTTTTCTTGTTGCTGAACGCTAGCGAAAATCTTTTTTTTCTTCTTCCTCCCTGTTCAAGCTTACAGCATATCGTTGGGTGAGGTACATATTATAGGATTTTTTTTCTGTTGCTATTGTCAAGTTTCTCAGCTATGTTCTTAGTTTGTTATGCTTCCTTCTACTCGATTCTGGCTATTGCTCTGTTCTTGTAAAATACGTCCACGCGTTTCTAATGGGTGGAAGGAATCAGGTCGTCGGAGTTGGTGGTGTTGGTCATGAGCTAAAATTGATGCTGATTCTGGTCTTTTTCTTTTCTTTTGAGCAGTGTTTTGTCTTCCTCTTTTCCTTGCTCAGCTGTAGCTCCCTGTTCGGTTGGCAATCTTTTGATCTCTCCCTCTTTCACTGTTATTGGTGATTAAGGTGAGGATTTTGAGCATTCTTCCTTTGTTGAGCTGTATAAGAGGGAGTGTGAGTTGATGGCTGAAATTATAGAGTTCTTTGAAAGAATTTTGTTGCTGCCCGTACGTTGCAAGAAGAAGGTTCAAATTTGAGCTGAAAATTTGACTTAAGGCTTGATAGTGATATACACATGGGTCATAATTTTGGAGTTAAATTAATTCTATTTGAAATGGCTGATGCAAAGAAGTTATTGAGGTGAAAATTGGAAGAGAATGGTTTAGATATACAACTTGAATATTGGTGCTTATGAGATGTTTGTTGAAAGACTTGTAAGAGGAAATTGAACTTGACTTTTGAATATTTATAGAAATTATTAATTTAGAAATTAACTTGTAGGTTTGTAAAGTAATTTGATTATGAGATTGCACATAGCTATTGGAGCACTTAGAACTTGTTTGGTTATTGGTGAATTTGTTGAATGTTTTAAATTGAAAAGGTAGAAGTAATGCACCTAAGGTATTTGGTGCAGAGATTGGGAGAAAACTTCTGTTCCAAGAAAATAAAATGGCATGGCTAAAGTTTTATGGAGAAAGTAAGAGGAACGAATGATAATGCTTGAATTAACTTTAAATCATAAATTTGGTTTTGAATTTTTGATGGTGGTTAGTAAAGGGTGTACTATAAATTAAAAAGTTATTAAAATTCTATTTATTTATATTTTTTAGGGTGTGTGGAAGAACAAGACCCTGACAAGACTTAAAACAAGAATAGTTTTGGGAATTTAGAACTTCAACAGGTAAGTGAATAGCATTCCTTATGAGTATTTATTGAAAATCTTTTATTGAAATATTTCATTTTTATGAATTATGTTAGTTTTAGAAATTTTGAAATAATGATGAAGAATAGTTATATTATGATTTGTGCATTTTCTCAAGAAATATATTTCTAATATTGATGAAGGCACCTTTGCCTATTGAATTTCAAAATTTCTTGATTACATGATTAGCACAAGTTTGTACATTCGTTATGGTGTATCAATTTGACAAGTTTCATATAATTGAAGTAATTCATGCGAGTTTGATCTTGAGAATGAAAATTTGACTTCAAAAATAATTATTTCTCTCGCATGTTTGAAATGGAATTTCTAAGATAACTCTATACAGAACACTGCTGCTAACGGCAATTTCGTTAATCCATAGCGCGCTGTGGTTAAACACTAGATAGTTTGTTTCGTGAGTTTTATTCTCACATTTGGTATTTGTGGGCTTTGTACCCGCGCTTGATTCCGTGGCCTGAGCCGTGTTTGGTTACTTACCCTCGTGGGCTGTGTGTCCACGTTTGTTTCGTAGCTTTGGCTGCGTTTGGTTACTTACCCTCATGGACTGATGTGTCTGTGTTTGTTTTCGTGGCATAAGCCATGTTTAGTTATTTACCCTCGTGAACTGTGTGTTCACATTTGTAACCTATTTTGTTGAGTTCTCAAAATTTTAAATGTTGATTAATATGTGTTTTCGAAATTTACCTGATTTTGACTAGTAATTTGTATCACTTTGAGTTATATGAGAGTAGATTGTTTTCTTTTAGCATGATAACATAAATTGTTTTCAACTTATTCTTATTTTACAAATATGATTATGACTTACATGCTTATAAATTTTGGTGGAATTACTTTCAATTATCTGACACCATTATTAGTGATTGTCAATTTAAATTTTAAGAATTTTACCATGGGAATGCTATTCACTGAAAAAATTATTTGGCCTCAGATTGGTTAGATGACGCCAATTCCACCAATGACCTCTAAAAGGGCAACTAGCTATAGTGGGTGGACATTTTGATTGGTATTGTTGCTTTAATGTAAATATATAATTTGTATATCTTTTTGATTTGAAAGAAAGAGTAAATGCTCCACATAAGTTGTTGATAAACCTTATTTTTTATCTGTATATTGGTTGCTGGCTGGAAGGAGCTACGCTCCTGATTTATATTGTTATCTATAAAAAAGAAATTTTTGTTGTAGAATTTTTGGGAGATCCTAGTTACAGGGGAGGTTTTGCCGAAATTTCTACAAAAACATCGACACTTTCTTATGATAATGAATTTAAAGAAGTTATTTTAATTCTCATGTGATTTGATTGAATTTTTTTCTTTTCTTGTAAAATGGAATAAATATTCTTGGAGGCTTACGGGAATGTGAGAGTGGTTCACACCCGTGCCGGTCACCCTCTATTTTTGGGGCGTGACAGATTATCTCAAATTTTCACTTACTTCAATACCGCCCCATATATCCTAGCACAATCCTTTTGGCATAATAATTTCCCTTCTTATAATAAGCAAACAAAATTAACATTCAAGCTCTTCAATAGCTCTTTAAATTTTTCATTAACTTCTTAAACTCTCATTAAACCCTCCAATAACTTCTATCAAGTAGCTCAACAATGCTTGGCAGCATTCAACTTCAACCATAAACACAACCCTTATTCCAATCTTAACAAAATTATAATTACCAAATAGTTTAACAATTTCCCTTCAGGTGATACATGATTCCAATGAGTAATTCTCAACCTTACAACTTATATATGTAAATGCATATAATTCCTCAAGCTTCATTTATAATTCTTCTAGGTTCTAATATGAAAATTAAATAATCATATCTCCTCCAAATTTCATGTTCAAATACCTTAAAACATAATATAAATCAAATCATAAGCAACTTCATACTTCACAATATATCAACGATTGATTTGCAAACAATATTTAAGATAGTATTGTCTTCGTTTGAGTTTCAAGTATACTTAAGTCAATTAAATTATTTAACAAATCTTAATTTATCTTTATACCTTCTTGTAATCCATCTTCAATCATAAGTCAGAATAAACTATGTCAACTATTCTTATGTTTTCTTTAAACTTAATAAAGTACTATATAAAAATCCTATGTAATTGTCACGCCTCTAAAATTTAGGTGTGATCGGCTTGGGATATGCATAGGAACTCACATCCCTTTAGCCTTAATACCATCTTATATATTTTAATTATAACACATTCATGGTATTGAGTAGGGTTCCTTATTTTATTTTATTTTATTTTATTTTAACAAAAGTCATAAATTCTCTACGAGAATTTAATATAGAATCTCTTAAAAATTTTACAACAACAATTTCAACACAAACAACAATGAGGAAATTTTTTTTGCTCTTATCAATAGACAAACGAATAATAGTTACTCAATACAAAAACCCTAACTATAGTCTATGTGGAGCATCTAGAATAGAGTTTACAAATTACATAGTATGATGTATAAATTAAAGTTTGACCACAAATAGAAATTTAATCAATTTAATGCTTTAACTTCAGTGATCCTTTGGACGTCTATAGCTATCTACAATATTTGAGACTAAATTTTTTTTAGTAAATAACATTTCGATAATGAAATTAAAAGATTCAAAATAAATAGAATTCATCAAGTAAACTGGTGCACGATTTAAAGAGGACACCAATATAATAAAATAACTAAATTTGAAGATTAAGAAATTCTATGTAGTTTCAAAAATACCAAACTAGTAAATTTACAATGACAAAGCCTTATCACTTGATCATGTAAAGTAAAATAAAATAGGTAAATAAAAATAGTAACATTCACTTTTTAAAACCAATAAAGTGTGTGTGTGTGTGTGTGTGTGTGTTTTCAACAAACGTGGACACACAGTCCACGAGGATAAATAACCAAACATAGTTTATGCCACGAAAACAAATGTGGACATACAGTCCATGAGGGTAAGTAACCAAACGCAGTTGAAGTCATGAAACAAACATAAATGTACAGTCCACGAGGATAATACTAACCAAACGCGGCTCAAAGTCATGAAAATAAACGTAGGTATTTAACCAATGAATAACCAACGTAAGAATAGAGCTCACAAAAATCAAACTAGCTAGTCATTGACCATGGCGCGCCAAGGACTAATGGAATTGTCGTTAGCAATCAGTGCTCTGCGTACAGTCCTCTAAAATAAACTTTTCAAACATGTGAGAAATTAATCATTTTCAAAATAAAATTTTGTACTTTCAATATCAAACTCGCATGAACATTTCAAAACCTCAGTTCTTTTCAATATAAATTTTTTCACTAATTCCACATTTGCCTTTATCAAATAAAAATTATTATTTGAGCTAGTAAAACTTTTCATCAGCCCTCAAGATATATTTTATAATGAATACATATAGATATGTTATAATTCCACTACTTTTCACCATACATATTACAACTTCAAGAGTTTTAAGCAATATAATTAACAAAATATTAAACATTTGAAATAGAACATGAAATATATTTAAGAAAATAATATTTTAATAAAAAGAAATTTGTTAGTAAAATTTATTGGGATATTATCCACTTACCTAAGGCAATCCCAACATCGTAATTTACCCCTTAGCATTCCTCACAACAAGATTTATTCCTGAAACATCCAATATGATAATAATTGAATCTCTAAAATTTTATAAAACTCATAATTGTTTACTCACTCAATTATCATAGTATATTCTCGCATTGCTCTTGGTCCTCAATCTTTTAATTTTCATTCCAAAGAAATTCATATCCTCCACATTCCTTTCGAGTGCACAAGTCATAATAATCCACTAACACATTTTAACTAACAATACCATTGTTTACACTTGCACTCTTCCCACAACATTGTCAATTGAAACCATAGCATTTTATTTTACATATTTGGGGGTTTACATACAATAAGCTATAAATCCAAAATAAATAATTAAATAAAACAACATTCATTGACCCCATATTACTTTTTCAGCACTTATATGCAAGTAAAGTCCTTGATCTCAATTTCCTACATAAAAATGCAATATCTTCAATACAAAGATTTAGTCATTGCACGGATTATTCCAAGTGCCCATGAATAAGATTCTATGGTGTACTTTACAATAGCAAGGCAATTGGCAGCTCTTACGTATGTACTAAAAGCCAATCAACACGTTCATAATCATGAATATACACACATGCATGCATGCACTAACTATATACACCTTAAGAATGTCACGCCCTAAAAATTTAAGGCATGACCGGCACGGAATATGTGTATAAAACCCATATCCCTTAAGCCTTGAACAAATATACTTTGGTCCATGCAAAACTATAGGCATATTTTTATTTTTATTTTTTATAAAATTCTTAAGAGAACTTTCATATAAATAAGACTTCCTAAATGTATGACAAAGAATAATAATAATCAAATAAAAGGATCTCGCTCCCTACTAAAATATATACAGTCTTTAAAGAAAGACGAGAATCCTACCTACATTATACGTGGAGTAGTTAGGACCAGGCCATGAAATTAATACAGGGTTCAAATTTTCATCAAGCAAAACTTGTTTGAAATAATTCTTCCACTCCACTTTAGTGATAAAATGCCGCAAGTAACACCTTGATATATAAGCTCAACTTATACTACTTGAGGCCAAAATATATTTTCCAGTGAATAACGTCCCAACAATAAATAATAGAACATAAGTAAAATGAAAGGTTCAAAATAGATATGTAAGTTAAAGAAACAAAAATTTCCATAAAAATTCAATAAACTTCATAATAAAATGTCTCTATAAAAATTCAAAGAAAATCTCAAATCATTGAACTATCATAGCAAATGATAATATCACTTGATTTCAAAAAAAAGGCATGTAAATGAAATAAATATTTATAAACAAATTACTGAATAAAAATCAATGGAATATAAAATCATCAAATAATTGGATTCATAATTATAGGGACTTATCAGAACAATTAACAAACGTGGACACACAGTCCACGAAGGTAAATAACCAAACGCGGCTTATGCCACGAAAACAAACGTGAACACACAATCCACGAGGGCAAATAACCAATCGCGGCCGAAGCCACGAAACAAACGTGGACACACAATCCACGAGGGTAAGTAACCAAACGCGGCTTATGCCACGAAAACAAACGTGAGTACAATGCTTACGAATAACCATCCCTCCATTCCACGTGCGTTGGCCATCGCACGGGGCTAGTACCTCCTATAAACACCCTGCTAGCTAGGTGTGCCATGGCATGCCAAGGGCTAACGGAACTGCCGTTAGCAATCAGTGTTCTGTACAAAAGTCCCTTTTTAAAATCACTTTCAAACATGCGAGAAAATCATCACTTTCAAGATACAGTTCTCATTTTCAAAATCAAACTCACATGAATATTTTTAAACATTAAAACTTGCCAAAATCAAATTTTATATATCCAATGCTCATGCTTGCATTTATTGAATAATCAAAAATTTCAAAGTCGAACTCGTAAGAATCATTCTCTATATCAATTCAATAATTTTCAGAATGAAAATCCCATAATTAAAATCCAAACTTGTATTTACTGATAAAATAAAATTATCAAATCTAGTATCTTTACAAAAATAAAATACTTTAATCAATAAAATATCCAATAATCACATTGTTGCTGAAAAAAGGATTTGTATAAAAATGTAATATTTCAATCAAAATTTATTAGAATATCAGTTGGGACGTTATCCACTTACCTGTTAAACGCCCAAAATAATAGCTTGTGCCTCATAAACCTCTCAATTGTCCTTTAACTACTCTATTACCTAAACAAGAAAAACAATAAATTTCTTTAACAATAACCCAAATAAATAAAACTACATCAATTATTCAACAACCTAATGTCTTGCCTAATGCATAATAAAGTTTGACTTATCCTTAAGCCACCAGTCATTTAAAATCTACATCCTTATTTTTATTTTTTATTTTTCAAACCTAACATGTGCTTTTAGGCAAATTCCTTGATGATTTTCCTAGCTTTAGTATAGAAAATAACTAGCTCTCGTATTGTCATGTAATCCATGATACCTTCATCCTACTTGGTTATCTCAATAGATTGAAATATCATCTCTTGTTCAAATACTTCCAATCACCAACTCTAAAATTTATGCCGCTTCCCAATAACTCAATTCCTCATTAACAATCAAGTTAGACTTAAAGAAAACCAAACCTCAATTTATTTATTTATTATTTAATATTTTCAATCCATTCAATACTTTACATGCTCACTTCTCTGTCCAATTATACGGCTCTCAAGAATTCAACTAATAACACATTAGCTTTATAATTGACAAAATCTCTTGTAACACTCAAATTAAACTCACAAGTAATTAGCATCCGAACCAACTATGCTTTATGAGAATTATTGACATTTAAGGAAAAAAAAAATCATGAACAATCAAGACTTCCCCTAACAAACTTTTATCCAATATCTTATAGGCACCAATATTCAAATTTTAATACTAAGTTCTTCCTTTGTATCCGATCCCATAATTCCTTCAACATTTGTACAGCATCAATACATAACTTATTCAAGCATCCAAAGTTTATTCCCTCCACAAGATTAATATGATTTAAATACAATTCAAGCACATGCTACTTTCTCTTCTTCCATGAACAAAATTCTAGCTTGCTTAATCGCACTGTGACTGCCTCCAAATGAATTCGCACAGCACATTGAACAGAAAATAAATATAAATTTGCACCAATCATTCTCTCACACACACACAGAATCAGCAAGGAGGAACAAATTACAACATCACCCATAAAAACACAGCACACAGGGGATTCAACGAAGGGAAAAATTCTAAGCTGCTGCCCAGATTCAACCATGACAGAAATGGTATAAAAAGAAGGAACCAACAAAAACAACGAAGGTGGAAAATCATGAACCAACAATAGTGCCCACAGCCACACCGAACCAGTGAGAACAGCGATAATACAGGGAAGGAGAAAATTTTCGACAACCATGCTCAAAAGTGGAGATTCACGACAAGCACAGATCAAGGAAAGAAAAAGATGAAATTCAACACAGAACAGGGGAGGGAAGAACTCACGGTTTGCACCACAACGCTGTGGTTCTGGGCGGACATCTCAGCAACAGCAAGCGGAACTCCTATTCTCATCAATAGCATGTTGAATAGCAAAAGGACAGAGGTGCTGGATCGAATGACTTGAAGCTTCTGAGCAATGAATCTCTCTTGCTCTCAGACGAAAGGAAGGTTCCGATAACACCCACGACAGAGAAACGAACAGAGGAGAAGGAGCGAAGAACAGAAGGGAAGGAGAATATCACTGGTGACCCACATCACCGATGATGAGCTGGACGGTGGAGTGAAGAGTTGGGATGGTCGAAATTTCCAGAAAAGTTGAAGTCTCTCTCTCCTCTGGTATGTAGCTCACCAACAAAGAGGGAAAACAAAAATAATATATGAGAGTTGATGGGAAAATTACAAATGAAGACCCTAAGATTTTTTTATATATTATTAATATTATATTTTAAAAAAAGCAAAGGCATTTTAGCAATTTCTCCCAATAAAAGAAAATAAACTAACATTTAGCTTAAGTAAGATTCAAACTCTAAATCTCCATATAAATACTCAGTATCAATTTTGCTAAACTACTATTCCTTACTTGTCTTAAAATTATGATAAATAAATTAAATATTAATTAGGAAAAAATTTATTTAATTTTAAAATTTTGGGTCATTACAAAGAATCTCTATGAAGCTCTGAGCAAGTGGGTTAATAACAACTTTCTCATTGAAGGTCGATGTGGAAGACAACCCCTATCACAATTTCACAAAGATTTAGTTAATGATTCATTACCCCAAACATCATCATTTATATTACAATCTCTTCATAATACTTTAACCATAGTTAATTATTTCACTGTAACATGATTCTCTTTCAAGCCTTATATCAAACACTTTGTGTGTACAGCTTCTAAGCCATTCAATACAACTTGTTTAGCTTCAATCTGCGACCCGACAAATTCCATACATCCATCATTAAATTCATCATGCTTTTCTAGTCCAATTCCTCAATAAAATCAATATAAGCTCAAGAAAAATTCAAATCAAAACAACACATTTACAGCCGAACAACCAAGCAAGGAAAGCCAATATATATATCTATGTGCCACACAAGATCATCAGAGATGAAGAAGAGAGGATGAGGTCCCTCATACCAGCCATGAGCAGCAACAACGATGAAGGGAGAGAAGGAGTTTGGTGCTGAACAGGGGAAGAAGAAGACCAGTAAATCAGCCTATTGCCGGAATCGACTACTCCCGCAGTCCGAAATTTAAGAACCCATAGCACAATATTAACAGAGGAAGAAGAATGGCCGACGATGTGAATGAATAGCAGACGGACGAGCTGAACAATGACCCGCAACGTTAAGCGATCAGCGACGCAGAACAGAGGAAGAGGAAAAAGAAATCTGTGGCATGCTCAAGGTCACCGATGACAGACGAAAAAGAACAGCAAGGGAGGGAGATCGGGGGAGACATGGGTATGGTTCAAAGCTCTCTCTCCACTCCTTTGACCTGGAGTCTTCGAAGCTTATGACAATGACAAGAGAAGAAAGAAAGAAAAAAACCAGTGCGTGCGTGTCTGATCTCCATCTATTTATTTTACTATTATTTTTTTGAACACTAAGGGCAAAATGGTAATTTGGCTAAATTATTCGTAAAAATAAAATTTTCGTCTCTTGTCTTTAAGGGAGGTCGAACCTAAATTTGACTTATAAAAGATTGACTCAATTACCACTAAATTAACTCTCTTTCTTAATAAATCTATACCAACATATATATATATAAGAATATCTTCAAAAGCTATCAATTTTAATTTCAAATAAATTCTAGGTCATTACAGTAATCCTTGCTTTTAATTTGGTATTTTAAAATTTCTATCAATAGCTTAAGTCACTATTCACGTATATTTCTTCAAGCTATATTATGAAAATTTTATATCAATCTTTCAAGCATTTTCACAAACATCTTAAGAGCATTCATCAAAGTTGAATTCACAATAGGCATTCAACAAATTTAGCCAACTTCCAACATTAATTCTATCATCAATATTCAACTTAACATCAAGATAAAATGGTGTATAGAATCAAGCAAAACAGCACCTCAATCTCACAAACAAATCACAACAGCAACAACAAAGGAAAGAGCAGAACATCGACTAGAAGAGGGAAGAAATCAAGCTTACTATACACAAAAACGTTCTACTTCCAGCAGCTAAGGAACAAGAAGCAAGAAGACAAGTAGTTGGATAAAAGGAATTTCTCATGGCAGCCATGAACACACAGCTAACAGACCCCAATTCAACAGCACTTGAAGGAAATAAATGCTGAACGAAAAATTAAGGGGTTCGAAGGTCTCAGCTCAGCAACCAACAATAATGAAAGAAAAGAAGAACAACAAATCTACACATCTATTGAACTCGCACGGCAGCAACCAAGGAAGGTAGAACAAATCATTCAGCATCCACCACTCCTAACGGCGACAGCTTCGGTGAGCAGAGGAGAAGATTGACAGTGAGGAGAGAAGCCGATGGTGAAGGGAGAAGTAGTTCAATGGTAAGAAGAGGAATCCGACAATGAGGAGAGAAGGAAAGCACGTTTAGGTCAGTAAAGGAAAGCATGTTTAAGTCGGTAAGATCCTATTTGGTTGGGGAGAAAGGGAGAGGAAATAAAAAAATATTCCCTCCCCTCTTGTTTGGTAAGGTGGAGGGGAGGGGAAGGGCTCCTCTTGTTTGGTAAGGTGGAGGGGAGGGGATATTTTTTAAAATTTCCCCTCCCCTTCCTTCCAAAACCTCCCCCTTAATTTGGAGGGATGCCCCCCTCCCCTCACCTCTCTTCTCCCCCTTGAACCAAGCAGAGCTTACAGGTGGGAAAGAAGAAAAATCTGAATATAAAAATAAATGAGAAAATTACAAGAAAGAGCAGAAGAAAAATTACAAAATAGGGCACAAAATTTTCCTAAAATTTAAAACAAAATAAAACCAGAATTTTGCTCCGTAGAATTCGAACTATGGACCTTCAAGAATATTACAAGTTCCAACAAACTATCACTCTTTTCTTGCTATAAAGTTAAAACAATTAAATAAAATATCAATTGGGTAAATTTATTTAATTTAAAATTTAGGATTATTACAAATATCAAGTGCCACATTAAGTATTATGAGATGCTCAGTGGAATATTTAAGTGAGTTATTTTTTCCACTTCAATTCAATAGCTAGCTTTTGGGGCAAGGTTCTTGTCTTACTTAAGTACATATCAATTTGTATTAGAGTCTAGTTGTTGGCAGTTCCATAGAAAGCTACCCACAGAGGGTTATGACCGATGGGAAGCCAAGTTAAGTTCCATGGAGCACAGTTGCCAAGACATTTACTTTTTGTGGGGGGGCAATTGACAAAGACTTCGTAGTATAAGATATCAAATCCCACACTAAGTAGTATGGGATATGCTCAATAGAGTATTTAAATGAATTAGTTCTTCCACTTCAACAATTAGCTTAAAAAAATAATAAGCCTCAATCATAACTTTTGGTTAAGGAATAATAACTTTTGTTTTGTAAATTGAAAGAGTTGAACAAGAAATCATAACTTGTCAAGTGAAATTTTTGTTATTAAAAAACAAGCTCTAATCATAACTTTTGATTAAGGGTTAATAACTTTTGTTTTGTGAATCGCAAGAGTTGAAAAAATCATAATTTGTCAAATATAATTTCTATTATTGAAAAACAAGTTCTCAATAACAAATCTCAATCACAACTTTTGTTTAAGAAATAACAATTTTTATCTGAATTGCAAGAATTAAATAAAAAATCACAACTTGTCACTAAGGGTAAAATAATTTTTTTAATTTAAAATTTATTAACATCGAGGTCCCTAAGAACTTTAGTAAAATTATAATCAAGGGACCACTTGGTTATTTATATAATTTAAAAGAATTTTATTATCATTTTTCCTAAATTCTTTCGACATTTGAGAACAATCACAGTGCCTATTATTCATTATTTGTCACAGCACAGAGAGTCCAGCTCGGTCTCCTTCAAATTGGTATTGAATTTTCCGTTGTGTTGGTGATATTGTTATTAAAATTATATTCAACAACCATGTGAGTGTGACTATCTCACTTCATCTCTTAAGTATGTGGTGAGAGGTTCGATTTTTCATTCATGTAAATAGAGAGCACTCCATGGCTAGCTGGCTGCTCCTTTGTGGGAGACCCTGTGGTGAGGGAGATTGGTCACGTCTACTGATGGTGGATACCTTGAGTTTACTCAAAAAAATTATATTCATGCTTCTTTTTATAATGATTCTAAATTATACATTTAAAAACAATGAATTTGAAGATATTTCTTCTAGTCCTATTTATAGGATAGAAAGAATTTTTTTTATTTATACATCACCTCATTAAATTTTTATTGCAAATAAAGTTAATAAATTTTAAAATTTTCTTTAATTATGATAAAATATATTGAAAATACTTTATAAATAAAATCAGAGTAGTATATGGTTAACGAGAAGTTATAAATTGCTTTGAGGTCCCGACAAGGTGAAATTAAAGAGATGCTGAAAAGTCATTTTGACTTGGGAAGCAAGTAACAACCACACACACATATTTGAATAGAAGTAACAACCATATTCAACTCAACAAGTAACTAGTGTTTGTTTTCTATGGTAGGGGCGTCCCATCACTCTACACATCATAATCAACTTCAAGTTTATTACAAATGATATTTATATTTTTAAAATGATTTAAAAAATATAACTTTTTAATTTTGCCTTTATTTATAATTAATAATTATAACAAATTGTTGTCTATGAAATCAAGCGATCATAAATATACACAACGGATGATTTTTTTTAAAAAAGCCTTAATTACTCTTTATCTTATATTAAGAACAAAAGAAAACTTTTAAACTTTGCCTTATATTAAGAAGCGAGTATTTCTTTTGGCGTTGATGTTAAAAAATAAAAATTAACCAAACAATCAAAAGAAGAAAAAGTAGAAGAAATCAACAACATTTTTAATTTAACTCAAATCGTAGGTGCCCGAACTTGCATATAAATGGGAAACCCTTCTTCATATCTCTCTAAAGGCAATTTCCTGGTAAATTTCCACGTCGGCAACCCGCTTCTCTTCTACTATATATTCAATTTAAGGTTCTTATTTATTAGCTTTTCTTCGCAGAGCTATTAAAATATCTTCAAATGCTCCTATCAGAAAAATATATCTTCAGAAACCGGCTTTCCATTGAGAAACGCAGCTGATCATCAAGACTGGAAGTACAGACACATGGGGAGTTTCATTGGTGGATCGTCGTCGTCGTCGTCGTCAAGACCGATTCATGTATATCTAAGTTTCAAAGGAGATGAAGAAACTTGCAAATTCACAGATAGGCTTTGGGCTGCTCTTGAAAGTAATGATTTGAATACATTTTGGGATGACAAGGAGCTTGAACTGAGCAATTCTATCTTTCTTCCACGTCACTTTCTCAAAGCAATTCGAAAATCTAACATTTCCATTGTTGTCTTCTCCAAAAACTATACTTCTTCCATATGTTACCTTGAAGAACTCTTTCAGATTGTTGCACACATCCATGAACCGCGATATGCTGCTTTCCCAATTTTCTATGATATCGGTCCATCAGAGTTACAAAACCAGAGTAATTCTTTTGAAATAGCTTTCAATGAACATGAACAAAGGTTCGCAGCAAATTTATGCAAGGTACACAATTGAAAGATTGCAATGAAACAAGTGGCCAATCTCTCTAGTTGGGATGTACCATCCGAGTGAGTAATTTTACTCTTGGTTTTCTCTTGATCATAGCATCAACTTTTCAGTCTCAATAGGCAAATTATAGAGATCTTCAACTATTGATCAATCAATAAAGCCATAAGTGATTTGGTACTTTTGTTTTTCCTTTATTCAGGCCAAGGCCAGAAGTTCTTGATGACGTCATTGTAGAGATCAAGAGAAAAATGCGTGAATTAGTCTATGCTGATTAGATCTAGTAGGGATGAAATCTCGAGTGAAAGAGGTAGAAAAGCTTCTTGATTTGAGTTCAAATGATGAAATTCAAGTTGTGGGTATTTTTGCTATAAGGAGGGGTAGGGAATGTAAGGTCTCCCTTACTAAACCACCTTAAACTCCATTATTAGGGTAATTAAAGGATTAATCCACAATGGATTACCAAAGTTGTAAAATTTTATAAAAGAGAAGAATTTTCAAATCATATACAATGGGATTCCCAAAATTCAAATTTTTAATCTCAAGCAAGCATTTGAAATGCTCAAATCAGAGTTTGAAAATGATGTTGAAGCTTAGAAAAAAAATGGGACCTATCACAATGAGTTTTAAAACTCAAAATTGGATTTTGTGCAGAAAATGTGACGTGCGTCGCGGCTTGTGACATATGTGCCATGGTTCACCCTTCTCTATACCATGCACCGCGGCGTATTGCACGAATTTAATAGCATCAGTTGTTGTCATTTGACAGCTGTGGGAGCGAACTTCTAATGTGTCCGAAAACTCCATTTGACATCTGATTAAGGTGATTTTGGTGTCTACACGGAGCCTTTTTCTAGCTCTAGCTAATGGCACTGGTTTCACACTCAAATTCATTTTCTACAAAAAGTTAGACACCATAACCTTTTTTTACCACTTTTCACATAAAACACACAAATTTAGTGTCCCAACTCAACCACAAGTGCCAAAAGCCTACACCGACTATCTGACCACACTCAATGGACTTTATGGACCCGTGCAACGTACCAAACACAACTAAAAATGCATATTCCACAAAATCGCCACTCAATCCTAAATTTCACAAAACACAAAGGGGAGGAAATTCATGCACAAAATCATCACTTTCATTCTAAATCTTTCAAAGTACACATGTTCTTACTTGCATAAGTATTTTAGCCCCATCCACGAGTTTACAACTAAAACTCCTTAACCCGAGGCACAAAAGACATAAGTTGTACACTCAGCTAATGTAAGTAATACAAAATAATGACATGTGATCTTGGTTGGCATTTGTATTAACATTTACACATAAAACAACTAAGAGAGGCATACAGAAAGGATTACTCTACAATCCTAAGCCTCTGTGTGTTTTTTCTGACTCGGATCCGATGAGTTAGGCCCTGAAAATATTGAGAATTGAGGGGTGAGTACAACTACTCAGTAACCAAGTTTCACCTAATCTATATAGTTGCATATCAATTGTAAATAGATGCAAATAGACAAACACACATATAACACATATGAGGAATTTGGCCATAGTTCAAAAAACTACCAACCATGTGATCGGGCCCAAAAACACATATATCTATTTTTAAATCACAATGCACAATGCGAGGTCATAATACTACCAACCATGCGCCCCCAACATATACCAGACCACAATACTAACAACCATGTGGTTAGATTTATACGCATGATTAAATGTCAAACTTATACCCTCCTATTACCTCCAATATGAAACTGATAGCTATCACGTGACTACGTTCTTCATAGACTAATCCAGCCTTTCACTTGTGAGGAGCTACCAGGCCAGGGTTGACTCATTCACTCATGTAATTCAATTTTTCCAAATACTAACAACCATAGGGTGTCGTACCCCTAATTTAGCCTCCTCATGAACTAGTGGATGCTAGCTAGGTTTAAGTCCCTTATAGAATAAGTGAGACAGTCTCGAATCAACTATGGGACAAGGGCTACCTCTCGATTCTAACGGTCAATGTCAAGATAAGTTCCCGATTCCAACAGTCACTGCCAATACCATGTAGATTTAAATCAATCTACTCCTTTTTCTAGGTGAACTTCTGCCAATGATCATGTTATACACATTTTTTACATAATATGCATTCCCAATAATCAATCCATGGCATATAAACTCACATTCTCTACATGCTAAACACATTGCAAGTTACAATTTTCCACCCACAATAACATGCCATAATTAAATTCATAAATCACAAATCGGTGGCATGATAAAGGTTTTCCTTTTCCAAAACCATTACACAAGTTAAACACATTTCCAAATTGCATCATTAATTTTAAACTATCAACCACATTTCACAAACACAATTAACATTCAACTATAAAAATTAAGTTTCTCCTAGTTACCTCAAACCTTTGAGAGGTCAAAGGTTTACCCCTCACACAAAACACTTTCAAAGCTTCTCCTAAGCTTGAATGATGCCAATACGAATCACACTATAAGTCATAATCAAGAATATCATCATACTCCCATTTTGAGGATTTACCCACATCAATCTCCCTAAGTCAATTCTATCAATCTTAAAAATCACTACCCATTCATACCCAATAAGTTCATTAAGTTTGATTGACTCACATTACCACTAATGAGTCATTAAACCACCATTAATAGTCCACCAACACTTCCAACCACCATATTTATGTTAATTTTAGGCATTTATTACTCCCATGCACCAACCACTTCAAAAATCATAATGTTGTGTTCCAATACCCTAAACAATTCCCATTATACCCATTTTAATCAATGGGATCGGACCCATAATTCTTATGGGTCAAAAATCAACCTTACAACTCAAACCCTAACTTAAATCTTCATAAATAAGGGAGAGAAAGGAAGAAGAAGACTTAGATTACTTACCTTGGGTGTTGAAAAGCTTTAATCTATCACCAATATACTCCAACAACAAGCCCTAACAGAGCCAAAGTCGTGGTATTCATGTTTCTCCTTTCCCCTTCTCTGTTTTGCACATGCAGAGACGAATCTAATAAATCAAATTTTTAACCATACACCACGGCGCACGCTGCCCTCCACCACAATGTATAGCATAGAGAAGCCATTGCATTTGAATTTTCCCTTGTGCACTGTAGTGGGTTGACTACACGCCGCGGTATGTGGCATAGAGGGCATTCCTTTACTTTTTCTTCTTCTTTCCATGCTCGAGTGACCCGCCATCAATCCGAACCCACTTTTAGGACTGAAATCACAACAATTTATATTAATTAGGCCCCTTTGGCCACACACCTCATTAACTCATTAATCACACTTATTAGGTTAATAAATCACGCTTAATTTTCCCGGATGTTATAGGGAAGACAGCCCTTGCAAGAGTTCTCTATGATAACATCAATCATCATTTTGATGCTTCTTATTTCGTACCCATTGGAGTTGAATTTTATCATACCATCATAGGGCTAAGACATCACAAGAGAACTCTCATTGTTCTCAATTGTTCTGATATTTTTATGCTTGTTCATCTACTCATCTTTGCTATAAGAGATAATCGGTTAGGTGGAGGGGAGTAGAATCATCATAAGCACTAGAGATGAAGGAGTTCTTAAACGGTTTGAGAACCATGAAATTTACAGGGTTGAACTATTGACCAAGGATGAAGCTTGTAATAACCCAATTTTTTTTTGAAAAATTAAAAGTTAAAATTAAAATTTAAAAATACATAATATTGTGTTTAAGTGTATTTATATTAATTTTGGAATAAATTAGTAAGAAGAAGAGTTTGTCTAGTGGCAATTATATTGCTACTTATTTAATAGGTCATGAGTTTGAATCTTATGAGGCTAAGAGTGCAAATTTGCTATATTTTCTCTTTTGCTTCAGCTTATTGACAAAATTACAATGATGCCCTTCTGAAAAAAAAAGAAAGAGACAGAGACAAAGACCTAAACGCGTGGCTTCTTCTCTCCTTATATTTTCCTTTTATCTGCCGAAAAGTCCAGAAACAATGGAGAGATAGGGAGCTTCGATTTCCACCAGTCCACTGTTATCTCTTCCCTTTTTCTGTCATCCTCCACTGTATTTTATCTCTCCCCTCTAGTTTCTGGTGATCGCGCGGTGAAAGTGGAGACTCGACGTCTCTATGTCATACCTAGGTTGTCCGTCTTGCTTCCCTGTCTCTACTTGTTTTCTTTGTTGCTTCTCCATTCTCGCTGTTCAGGTACACGCAGCTGGGGTCCGAGAATCAAGTTGTCGGAGCTGGTAGGGTTGTTCGCGAGCTCATCTCTGTTTGATCTAGTGCTGTGATTCTGTTTTCTTCCTTTTGTGTGTACCCTGTCTCTGATTCATTCTCTATGCAGCTCGTGATTTTTTTTCCTTGCTTGGTAGTGTCTGGTCCTTTAGCCTGCTTGTGCGTTTCTGAAGAGAGAAAGAGGAGTGGTCTGCCATTGGTTGAAGCTGGAAATAGGAGAACTCCTCTCCCTGTTCTGTCGGCTTCTTCTCGTTCTCTCCCTCCTCTGTTACTGTTGGTACTTAAGGTGAGGATTTTTGAACTCCTCTTGATAATTTAGTGCAAGAAAGAGTGTCTTAATGAATGATTGAAATTGAAATTTTTTTTCTAAGTTCTGCTGCACTCCATGGCTGCTGGGGAAGGGAGGAATGGAATTAAACTGAAATTTGTGTATTGGAAGTATGATTATGATAAGTATGGTTAGAGTTTGAGTCAAGTTAATTTTGTTTGAACTAGATGATGTTAAGAAGTGGTTAGGATGAGTTTGAAATAGAAAAACGTTGACATGGAATTTGACAGTTAGTGACCATGAAATGTTTTGTTAAAATGCTTGTGAAAAGGAATTATGAAGCAATTGGAAGATTAAATGTAATATATATATATACACACACATATAAAAAAAATTGGATGTGTATGTTATAGAGTTTGAAAATAGAAATATACTCAATATGTTAGATAAGGGGAGTATTCATATGAAGTAACTGTGAAATTAGAGAAGCTTTTAAGATATGGATTTTGGTGTCTTTGAATAATTACTATTGTAGTTGATTAGAGTTATTTTTGTTGACTTAAATTTTTGCATGTATATAAATATGTTCATATAGGGTGTCTAGAGGGAGAGGATCTTGATAAAAGTGATAAGGAGTAAGCTATAGAGGTTGGGAAGGCTTATCAGGTAAGTGGATAGCGTCCCAACTGATTTTTTTTAATCAAAATTTCTTTTACTAAAATATTACATTTTTCTGGAAATCATTTTAATAGCATTAATGCAATTATTGGATATTTGTTGATTAACTTTACTTTATTTTGAGAAATTAGCTTTATCAAATTTGAAATGTTATTTAATCAATTAAATTAAGTTTGAACTTTGATTATGAGATTTTTATTTTATCAAATATTGGATTGATACAGAGAATAATTCATGCGAGTTTGACTTTGAAATTTTGATTATTCAATAAATGCAAGCATGAGTATTGGATATAAAATTTTATTCTGGCAAGTTTTTAATGCTTAAAAATATTCATGCGAGTTTGATTTTGAGAATGAGAACTGTATTTTGAAAGTGAGGATTTTCTCTCATGTTTGAAAATGGTTTTAAAAAGGAATTTTATACGGAACACTGGTTGCTAACGGCAGTTCCGTTAGCCCTTGGCGCGCTATGGTACACCTAGCTAGCAGGGTGTTTATAGGAGGTGCTCGCCCAGTGGATAGCTAACGCACGTGGAACGGAGGGATGGTTATTCGTGAGCATCGTACTCACGTTTGTTTCGTGGCTTTAAGCCGCGTTTGATTAGCGTTACCCTCGTGGACTGTGTGTCCATGTTTGTTTCGTGGCTTTGGCCATGTTTGGTTACTTACCCTCGTGGAATGAGTGTCCACGTTTGTTTTCGTGGCATAAGCCGCATTTGGTTAGTTACCCTCGTAGATTATGTGTCCACGTTTGTTAATTGTTCTGATAAGTCCCTATATTTATGAATCCAATCGTTTGATGATTTCATATTCTATTGATTTTTATTTAGTAATTTGTTTATAAATATTTATTTCATTTATGTGCTTTCTTGAAATCAAGTGATAATATCATTTTCTATGATAGTTCAATGATTTGAGATTTTATTTGAAATTTATAGAGCCATTTTATTATGAAGTTTATAAAATTTTTATGAAAATTTTGTCTATTTAACTTACATAACTATTTTAAACTTTTCATTTTATTTATATTCTATTATTTATTGTTGAGACGTTATTCACTGGAAAAGATATTTTGGTCTCAGATGGTATAGTTGAACTTGTGACTCGAGATATCCACTGAGGAGTTTTATTGCTGAATTGAAGCAGAAAAATTATTTTAGTCAAATCCTAATTTGATGAAAAATTTAAACTTTATACCTACGTTGGCGTCTAGCCTTAGGTGCTCCACATAAACTACAGGTGGGATCCTTATATTTTTTTTAAAGTTGAATATCTGAATTAATATTGTAACAATTTCTAATTACTCTATTAGTGTGTTTAACGTATTAATTTCAGAGTTTCTCCGATCAAGGCTTAAGGGATATAAGTTTTGTGCCCATATCCCGTGCCGGTCACACCTGATTTTTGGGGCGTGACAAAGCTCTTTAATTATTTTGTAGAAAATATTTTAATTGTGATTTTCCAATGAGAGGTTACGATGAGGAAATAAACAGTGTACTTGAATATGCTAATGGCCTTCCTTTGGCAATTGTAGTATTGAGCCAATTCTTATATAATAGAAGAGCTTCAGAATGGAGGAGCATCTTGGTTGAATTCTAAAAAAAAACTGTTGATTCTATGATAATGGAGGTCCTCAAAAAAAAGTTTTGAAGAACTCGATGACTGTGGCAAGGAAATCTTTTTACACATGGGAATTTTTTTTATAGGAAAGGATATTAAATTTGTAAAAGGAATTTTATCGTCTTTGTATGTTTATAGTAGTGATATTCAACGTTTAGTTGAAAAATCACTGATGACCATTGGAGATCAAAAAATACGAATGCATAGTCCATTGCAAGAAATGGGAAGAGAAACTATTCCCCAAGAATCTCCTTCTAGGCCAGAAGAGTGGAGTAGATTGTGGGAATTTGATGACATTGATGCTGTTATGCAAAGTGACGCTGTATGTCTTTCTAATTAACATTTTTTGTTTAGTTGAAACATTACTATTATAATGTACTAAAATTGAAGTCTTCTATGACCCAGGCTACTCTTAAAACTGAAGCTATCGTATTGGATCTAGAAGATTTACAAGACAGGGCAATAAGGGTTGAAGCTTTATCACGCATGAGCAATCTTAGACTTCTCATATTTCGTAACGTAAAATTTTCTGGAGTCTTGGAAAATCTTTCATGGCAACTTGAGTATATTTCATGGCACCAATATCCTTTAACTTGTTTGCCGTCAACTTTTGAACCATATTGTCTTATGGAAGTGAATTTGACTGATAGCTGCAGCACAAGTATATGGCATGATTGTGGAGGAGGAAAGGTAATGTTAACCGGTGCACGCCCTACAATTAATTTAGATATTTTTGGCAAATGCAAGACTTTCTTCATTCACACAAGTATATGCAAATGACTCGTTTACAAGCAATAATCAAAATATTTTTATCAACTAATAATACACACACATATATATTAAGATATCGCATATTTATGCATGTATATCATATATGTGTGTTAAGTATTCATGTGTGAATTTTTTTTTTTTTATGAAAACTGCGTTTGCCATTAGAGATGAGCAAACGTAATGTGATTGTGCGTGTGCGCCATTCTGGTACACTTCTTTTTTTTTTTTTTTTCACAGGTTTTCTGGTGGCTGAGAAAAATGAGTCTTAGTGGATCCAAAGATTTAACCAAGAGGCCAAATTTCAGTGGATTTCCCAGTCTTGAGAGGCTAGACCTTGAAGGATGCATTAAATTATCACAGCTTGATGCATCCATTGCTGATCTTTCCATGGCTTGAATTCTTAAATTTGAGAAATTGTAGTAATCTTGTTAGTATCCCCAATGAACTATTTTCTCTATCCTCTTTAGAAATTTTAAATTTGGCTGGTTGCTCCAAGTTTGCTAGTTGTCTGAACTTTTCTTTTTTTGAGGAGGATGGTGAAAGAGAAACTATTCAACCATCATTTCCTCGTAGAAGACAAAAGCTATGGAGAAACAAATTTACTCTAAGTGAACTATTTGGTACAAAGAAGTGTCGTATCGGTAATTAATTAATCATGTTTATTTTTCATATATCTCCTCTTTTACTATTCTCTCTCTTACTAAGTCCTATGTGTCTCTGTGTTTGTAGGAAGGGGTCAAGAGTAATTATAGAATAATTAGCCTGACAGCAAGGCGATGGACTCACTCTTTTTATTAATTGAAAGTGTAGTTCTTTCCACTTTAATTTAGTTTTGAATATATTGATGAGATATTTCAATTTATCTAAATTATACATTTAATTTAAAAATGAAAGTACTAAAAAATAATAATTTATTAAAAACGATTTGGTGTAAAGAAGGAAATGTATATATTTTTTAAAATTTTTCATGACTCTCATCAACTCTTTGTTCTCTCTCTCCCCAAAATGTATGACAAGTGTTGAAGATACGAAGTACAATAAATTTTGACGTAACTGATATCTTTAGTGTGATATAAAAATATGACACTTCAGTTTCAAAAGAATCATTTCATTTAAGTAATAGACATGGCATGTTTCTTCATAGGGAAGGAGATTAAATTTGTAGAAGCAATTTTACGGTCTTGTGGTTTTCTTGGGGTTCAACTTTTAGTTGAAAAATCACTCATCACTATTATAGATCAAAAAAATACAAATGCAAAGTTTGCTTCAACAAATGGAAGGAGAAATTGTTTGGCATGAATTCCCTTCTAAGCCAGAATAGTGGAATAGATTATGAAATTTTGATGATATTTATAGTGTTATGCACAATGACAAGGTAAGTTTTGCTAACACATTGTTTGGTTGAAACATTAACATTATAATGTAATAAAATTGAAGTAATATCACTTTGCGTCAATTTTATATAAATGTATCTGTTCACAGGCTACTTTTGAAGTTGAAGCTATAGTCTTGGATCTAGAAGATTCACAACAGAGTCGGCTAAGAGTCGACAGCTTATCACAATTGATCAATCTTAGACTGTTCATATTTCAGAACGTGAAACTTTTTGGAGTCCTAAAACATTTGTCAAATCGGCTCCGATATATTTCATGGCACCATTATCCTTTCACTTCTTTACCATGTTAGGGAATTGATTTTGCCTGATAGCTGCATCACAAGCATATGGGATGAAGAAAATGTATGCCTTGTAACTCCATCACAAGTAAATGAAAACTACTTATTTATAAGCAATATTAATCAAAATACTTTTGTTAACTGGTAAAATATATGATTCTATTTAATGCATAACAAGATATTATATACTTTTATTTTTATTTATGCATGTGTATATTCTTTCCGATCATAATATAGGACAGATTTTTAAAGCCCTATCTGGTCTTCAATATAGGGAAAAAATATAGTAATTAACTTTTCCATGATAATATCCCCTCTTTAATTGCACCAAATTATATATTCATAGCCACACTTGTTGAGTCGTTTTCAGGTATTACTCCCTCACACTTACCAACATACATTGATGTCTGCCACTGGAGGCCAGAAAAGGTAATGTTAACATAAATTCGATGCACGTCCTTCTAATAACTTAGTACATCCGTTGTATAGCTAATTGTCAAGTACACTTTTTTCATTAACAGATTTTCCCTTGCTTGAGAAACATGAACCCTTGTGGCTTCAAAGATTTAACCAAGATGCCAAATTTTAAAGAATTTCCTGAACTTGAGAGGCTAGACCTTGAAGGATGTAGGAAATTGTCACAGCTAGATCCATCTGTTGCTGATCTTTCAGAGCTCAAATTCTTAAATTTTTGAGAAATTGTACTAATCTTGTTAGTATTCCCAATAAGTTATTTTCACTACCTTCTTTAGAAATTCTAAATATGGCTTGTTGCTCCAAGTTTGCAAGTTGTCTTGGCTTTTCTTCTCTTGAGGAGATTGGTTAAAGAGAAACAACTGTTCGACAATCATTTCCTGGGAGGAGACAAAAGCTATGTAGAAACGAATCTATTTAAGTGCATCTTCTATAATGTTGTACACAAAAGATAGAAATAGAGTGCTTGTTGGTATAAAATTCGAAAGATTACACAGTTTATTGACTTTAATAACTAATAATTCGAAATTTTAAATCTCAGAACACTATAGTGCCGATATTGATTAATTCACAGCACAAAGTGTCCAGCTCAGCCTACTTTAATTTGGTTTTCCAATTTTTTTATTACATTTCTTATGTACAGTTATACCTAGTTGTCTATACTCTTGTACTCTTTCATTTACAGATAATCCTAAGTTGAAAATCTTGAAACTTCGTGGCCCCAAAAATTTGAAGTGTAGACATTAATTAAAGGACGTACTGGATTACTGCAACTCAATCCCTCAATTGCTGAAATATCAAAGCTTAAATTCTCCAATTTTCTGAGAAACTATATATTTCTACGGATTCAGTAATTGAGGGATGGAGTGAAGACGACACATTTTCTTCTTCACTCTTTCAAGTTTTTTTTCCTTCTCTCTCTCTCTCTTTCCACATTATCTTCCCCCTTCCTCTTTTATTTAATATTGAAAATTTAATTAATAAATGTAATTAGTCCCACATCAGGGAGTTTTAAAAGTTGAATGAGGTTTATAAGTGTAAGACGGGTGCCCATATTTAGTATCCAATAACATCTTGAACAGTTCGCCCTCCAATAAGAGGATATTTGATACATGGGCATTAGGATTAAGAGGGTTAATTAGGAATCTCTAGGTTGTAATGGATCATTGTGAATGGAATGAATTAGTCTCTCTCTCTAATTCCCTTCAACCTCCCTCCCCCTCTAACCAAAAAAAAAAAATCTTATTTTTAAAACTTAGTTAAAATACTTGAAACTCAATTTGAAAACTGAATCTTGCATGGCTGCACAAAATTACCGGAATGGGGAAAATGGACGCTTGTCATCATTTAGATTATGCTTGTTGTTCTCTCTCTCTCTCTCTATAGAGATATATATATATATATATTAATTTAGTTCATTTGGTTCTGCAATGTAAATATATCTATGCATATATTTACATTATGTTACAGTATGAAATGTGTATTGAGGCCAAGTCCAATTAGCTGCGTACTATATGTTTATCCCTTTGGTCTGTCTATACGAAACGCGTGGAATATCTAAGCTGAAGTAACAAAAAGAGAGTTAAATACACACACACACACACACACACACACACACACACACACACACACACACACACACATATATTTCACACAAGAGTAGTTTGAGCAAAAGCGAGCAACGAGTTTGGTAATAAAAAATTAACAAGTTGATAATATAATCTCAAGTTCCGTGCCTAACATTTTCATGTTTTAATTAATTTAATTAATTCCACTGACCTACTACTTGATACATCAAACTAAGAACACTGGAAGGTTTCAAAAGGTGGGAACTGGTGGGACTTGTGTTCCCTCTTAATCAAAGCTCTTCATTTGGATCAAATTTTTGTTTTTGACCAAACATTTGGATCAAATTTCAATGGATAATACCTCCTCCATCCCAATTTATAATATACTTTTGAAAAAAGATTTGATATACCAAAATATAAGACATTTTGACTAAAAGGTTTCCTCAATGAAGCTTTTATAATGTTATCCTTCCTATTATATTGTTTCTCTTTAATATTCTTTCACAAATGAAGTATTAAATAAATGACATTTTTAAAAGTTTACATTTTATATTATAAAAAAATAAGGTTATAAAGTGTATTTAATAAGTTTTATTAGTATGTATAATTTTATTTAAAGATGTTTTATAAATTGAAATGGAGGCAATATAAAAAATAATAATGTATGGTCTCATGATATAATAGATTATTGCTTATAAAAAACATGAAAGACTAAATTTTATTAACATTAACAACTAATTGAAAATTTTAGGAGTTGGGCTCATTTTAATATTGAATCAATAATATAACTATCAATTATTTTGACATCTTAGAACACTCACAGTGCCTATTGATTGTTTTTCACACGATGAATGGTCCAGCTCGTTCCACTTTAAATTGGTTTTGAATTTTCCTCTTTTTTTACTAATCAAAAGTTGAGGTGAGTTGGCTCGACCTGAGGACTCATTAAAGCTAAAGCATATCTTCAGACTCAAAGAGTATTTACAAATTGCTTACCATGAAGCCCTCACATTAATAGCGAGATTTGATCCAATAATTTTATGTATTATGAGCCAAATCCTTTCATACTTATATTTTTTGTTCTGTGTTGATGATATTTTTATTAAAATTATATTCAGGCCTCTTTGTTGTAATGTTGCTAAATTATACACTTAAACATAATGAATTTGAAGATACATCATTAATAAGAAGTTATAGATTGGTTTTAGGTCCGCACAAAGCTGAAAAGTCAATTTAACTTGGACAGCAAGTAACAACGATATTTCGAACCAAAAAAAAAAAAAAACAACCATATTCAATTCAACAAGTTTTTGTTCTCCATCGAAGGGGCACACGGTCTCTTTTTTCTCTGTCGACATTTTACACGTCACAATCACAGCTTACTAAGGTAACCTAATAGTCCTTTTTGTTTTTTTTTTTTTTGGGGCCAATCCTAATAGACCATATATACGTGACGTATTTCATTAACTTCACATTTATTAAAAAAATGGTACTTATATTTTTAAAATTGTTAAAAAAGTAACTTTTCATTTTTATTTATATTTATAATTAATAATCATAATAAATTGTTATCCAGGAATTCAAATGATAATAAATATAAATATAAGGGATGAATTTTTTTTTTTAAAAAAAGACTTAATTAGATTGTCTTATATTAAGAACTAAAAAAATTTTAAACTTTATCTTATATTAAGAACAAGAGGAGTATTTCTTTTGGCATAGAGAAAAAGTAACTTAACAATCAAAAGAAAAAAAAATAGAACAAATCAACAACATTTTTAACTTAACTCATATCGCAAGTGCCCCTACTTGCATCAACCCTTGTTCATATCTCTTTAGAGGCAAGTTCCTACAAGTTTCCACCTTAACAACCCGCCTCTCTTCTTCTATTCATTTTAAGGTTCTTATTTATTGGTTTTTCTTCGCATAGCCATTAAAATATCTTCAAAAGCTCATGTCAGAAAATATATATCTTCAAAAGCTCTGTGAGCAACAGTGATTCCATTCTATCTGGCTTTCCCATTGAGAAACGCAGCCGATCATCAAGACTGGAAGTATAGACACATGGAGAGTTTCATCGGTGGGTCGTCGTCATCAAGAGCGATTCATGTATATCTAAGTTTCAAAGGAGATGATGAAACCTGCAGATTCACAGATATGCTTTGGGCTTCTCTTGAAAGTAATGATTTGAATGCCTTTTGGGATGACAAGAAGCTTGACCCATGTGATTCCATCTTTCTTCCACGTTCCTTTCTCAAAGCTATTCAGCAATCCAACATTTCCATTGTTGTCTTCTCCAAAACTATGCTTCTTCTATATGGTGCCTTGAGGAACTTTCTGAGATCACTGCACGCATCCATGAACCACGATACACTGTTTTCCCAATTTTCTATGATGTAGATCCATCTGAGGTACAAAACCAGAGTAATTCTTTTGAAACAACTTTCGATGAACATGAAAAAAGGTTCGCAACAAATTTACACAAGGTACACAGTTGGAGGTTAGCAATGAAACATGTGGCCAATCTCTCTGGTTGGGATGTACCATCCGAGTGAGTAATTTTACTCTTGTTTTCTCTTGACCCTAACATTAATTAACTTTCCAAGTCTCAGTCGGGAAATTATAGGGATCTTCAAGTAACTATAATAGATCAATCAGTAAAGCATATCTACTTTGACTAAATGATTACTTTGTTGCTTTCATTTTTCCTTTATTTAGGCCAGGGCAACAAGTTATTGATGACATCATTATAGCGGTCAAGAGAAAAATGCGTGAATTGGTCTGCACCAATATCGATGAAGATCTAGTAGGTATGCAGTCTCGAGTGAAAGAAGTAGAAGAGCTTCTTGACTTGGGTAATTCAAGTGATGAAATTCAAGTTGTGGGCATTTGTGGTATGGGTGGGGTAGGCAAGACAATCCTTGCAAGAATTCTATATGATAGGGTCTCTCACCATTTTGATGCGTCTTATTTTGTACTTAATGGATTTGAATTTTATATGACCACAGGGCTAAAACATCATAAGAGAACTCTCATAGTTCTCGATTGTTCTGACACTTTTAAGATTCTAGGACAACTGCTCTATACTATAAAATATAAGCAATTGGGTGGAGGGAGTAGAATCATCATAACCACCAGAGATGAAGAAATGTTTAGAAAGTTTGAGAAGTGTGATATTTACAGGGTTAAACCATTGACCAGAGACGAAGCTCTTCAATTATTTTGTAGAAAAGCTTTCAAATGTGAATGTTCGGTGAGAGGTTATGAGGAGCAAATAGATAGTGTACTCAAGTATGCTAATGGCCTTCCATTAGCAATTGTTGAATTGGGCTCATTTTTATATAATAGAAGACCCTCAGAATGGAGCAATGCCATGGTTGAATTCAAAAGGGTCTCTAACTCTGATGTAATGAAGGTGCTCCAAAAACGTTTTGATGAACTGGGCTTCAATTGCATGTAAGGAAACCATTTTAGACATTTCATGTATTTCTTTTTTTAATATAGGGCAGCAGGTTAAATGTGTAATAGTTGTAATTTTCTCATAGGATAAGATTCTATCGATGAGTGAAATATGATATATAACTTTGATTTTGATTGACAAATCAATCATGACCATCTTAGATAAAAGTACAAATGCATGACTAATGCAAGAAATGGGGACAAAAAATTGTTGCCATAATTCCCATCATTTTTTTTTTTCGTATTGATCATGACGCAATAAATTATAGGGTTGCCGTATTTGTTATTTAACTATATAGTACATATGAATGTAATGTTACATAGGACAAAATTAAAACTGTCATGACAAACTATACTCATTTTTTTCAATAGTATATTAATTAATTATTTGCTACTTATACATTATAAACATTTTGTTACAGTCCATTATATCATTCTTATTCTCATTGTTAACGTAGCTGACCACTAGTGTTGCACATTTCTGGCATTTTCTATTGGGTAGTACTCATAAGGTTACATCTATATATGGTGAAAACTAATATTTTTATTTGAGCTTTGCATCTGCTTAATTGTTAATAGAAACATGAAGCAAGGTCAGAATATAAGTTCGCTAGTTTTATTTTACTATCTCATGTGAAGAAATTTCAGGATCAATTTTTAGAAAATCTTTTGTACTCATATATATTAAATAAGCAAGAGCTAAATTGCAAATTGATCCCTAAACTATAGATCAAGGAGTGTTTATGACCATAGACTCATTTTTGATGCCATATTCCTTTAAACTTTTCAAAATGCTGAAATATGGCTCTTGCAATTAACAAATGTTAACTTTAGCTGACAAAAATTTATAAAAAATGAATTAAAAAATTACAGAAAATGACAAAAAAAATTTCTTAGCCTTTTTTGTATCATTATCTATAATATCGAGTCATTTTCTATAATTTTTTATCAATTAATAGTTAAAATCAATTTTTATTAAAGGTACGGAAACATTACATCATTTTTAAATACTGAAAGGAAACATTACACAAAAAATGAATTTAGAGTCCTAAATGCTCTTAGACTTATAGTTTAGGAGCTAATTTGTCATTTAATCCAATAGACAATTAACTCAATTAGTAAACAATTTTTCTTTTTTCTTTTTACCATACAGACATCAAAACCAAAAATGAAGCTTTAATTCGTGCGAGTATGTGAGTTGAGTGATTTCAGGAAAAAAAATTAAATATATAAAACATTTTAACGTGTAGACAAGCAATTATGCATTGCAAGGTTTGGAGGAAAAATGTAAGGAAGGGTCAAGCAAGTGAGGACGCGCGGGACGGTCACCAGCGTGTGGTAGATCCATTGGTTTTATCCCTTGGGGTAGGGTGCTGAACGATAAATCCACACCAGTGTGTTTCACTCTTGGTTTTCTCATCATTAAAACCTTCAAGTCACAAACGAAAGACAAATTATAGATATTTTTTAGTGAAACCCTTCTTCAGATCTCTTTGAGGGCAAGCTCCCAGAAATTTCCACGTCGACAACCATCTCTTCTCTTCATTTCAAGGTTCTAGTTTTATTGGCTTCCTTCATTCGCAGATAGTAGTCACTTAAAGGTCATTAAAAGCTCAGTGATCACAACTGCATGCTCAATTCTATCCATTGAAGGCTATTGACACATGGAGAGTTTCATCAGTGGATCATCATCATCATCATCATCATCATCATCAAGGCGAGATGACAGAACTTGCAGATTCACAGATTGGCTTTGGATTGCTCTTCAAGGCAATGATTTAAATACTTTTTGGGATGACAAGAAGCTAGACCCATGTGATTCCATCTTTCTTCCACCTCACTTTCTCAAAGCTATTCAGCAATCAAACACTTCCATTTCTTCCATATATGTCTAAAACCATAGAAGGGAGAAATGGATGTCACATAGCTTGCCTATTAAGCATTTGTCAGGGATAAAAAGGCTTGTCATCAACTTACATTAACTGTTGATTAACAATATTTTCATAGGCACCATGTTATATGTCTATCCTAACTACCAATATGACTATCATGAGTACAAGCCTAGAGAGATAATTAATCCCAAAAAATTAGAATATTGGGCAGGATAGTCTCTTGAACTTAGAGACTCTTGGCCCACTCCATTTGTGAGGTTTATCAATGTGGGACTCATAAAATTGACTGAAATGGACTAGCTTTTTTAAATTAGTATCATATAACTCATGACATACTGCTTTAACTAGCTAATAAATATCTAGTTGACAAGTTATATGATACTCTAAGTATGCTATAATGTATTTTACTAAAAACAAAAAGGGTGTTAATTTATCCACAATATTAAAACAAAAAAAGCTGATGTTGAAATGTGCCGTCATGTGAACAACGGACGCCGAAGTCCGAGTAAAACTACGTCTTTATTCCTACACGAAACAAGTTGATAACAAGAGAGAATAAAAATATTCTCAGTCTAATTAAAATAACATAGCAACAGCAAGTTGGTCATTAAAATAATAATAATAATAATAATAATAATAAAGAGACAAAATTATCAGCGAGGCATCCGTTGAAGGAAGCCTGAAGGAAGTAGTCCCCCGAAATAAAATATTCGGAAAATTTGGGGAAATAATATTTTAATTTAACACTGACAGAACCTAATAAAAACGTTACTGACAAATGAATAAGAACACTAAGCAAAATAAGAGTGAGTAAAACCAACTTGACCTTACACTTGGATATGATGTGTAGTGGCGTACGGTAACTCCTCCATTTAAAAATGTAAAACATTTTTAATCGAATCTCACCCTTTAATAAAGTAGTTACCTACTTTCAAACTAACTCTATCTTTTAATATTTACTCCTATTAAACACCTTATAATACATATAAAGTCATACATGAATAGGGACACTTTTGAAAAAAAAAATAATGATTATATCTCAACAGACTAAAAATATATTATATTTTTAAATATTTAACTTCTCAAAAAATACCTTATATTTTTAAATGGAAGGAGTATTGATTGATGATGACAACGAAAGCCCCAATGAGAAACTGTGACTCCTTCAAGCTTTCCCATCCATTCACACACACATTCCAGCCGATTCCCACACACACACAAGCTCCAAAAAATTTCAACCTTAACAAACCCCTTTTTTCATTTTAAGATTCTTGTTAAAGTAATCTAAAAGTCAATAATAGAAGAAAAACCATGAGAAATCAACAAAATTTTTATTTAATCCTCATCAAAGCCGCGCACATTTGCACAGAAATTGGAAACCTTTCTTCATATCTCTTTGAGAGCAAGCTCTCAGAAATTTCCACCTCGACTCTCTTCTTTTCATTTCAAAGTTCAAGTTTTATTGGTCTCCTGTACGTTCGCAGAGCCAATGAAAGATCCTCTGTGACTAATTGTGGCTCCATCCTATCCATTGAAAGGCTACTGACATGGAGAGTTTCATTAGTGAATCATCATCATCATCAAGGCCAAAAAATGTCTATCTAAGTTTCAAAGGAGATTATGCAACTTGCAAATTCACAGATAGGCTTTGGTTTTCTCTTGAAACTAAGTGATGATTTAAATACCCCTTGGGATGACAAGAAGCTTGATCATTGTGATTCCATCTTTCTTCCACCTCAGTTTCTCAAAGCTATTTAGCAATCAAACATTTTCATTGTTGTCTGCTCCAAAAACTATGCTTCTTCTATATGGCGCCTTCAGGAACTCTATGAGATTGCGGCACGTATCCATGAACTGCGACATATAGTTTTTCCACTTTTCTATGTTGTAGATCCGTCTGATGTGCAGAATTTGAGTAAATCTTTCGGAAAAGCTTTTGCTAAACATGAGCAAAGATTCACCACTATATATAAAAGAAAAAAGACTTTTGACAACGACAAAAAAGTTCTTGCTAAAGGTTCACTTTTGGCAACGATTCTTAACATTTTGTCACAAAAAATAACTTTTAATGATATTTTGTCACCGTCAAAAGTATTTTTTATTAAAAATAATTTATATAATTACTTTTTGTGGCAACATTTATTGCCACTAAAAATATTTTTTAAAAAAAATTAGGTATAATTTTAAATTATATTAAACATTTAATAAAATTATTATTAGAAAAAAAATTTCTTGTGAATTATTTTAAAAATTTAAAAGTAAATAAAATCATTCAAAAGATGTTTATGAAATTAAATTTGAAGTAAATGATATATATGATCGAGAAACAAAAATAATAACAATGAAGATGTGTTAAGTTTAATTATTAATTTTTTTTAATTTTGTATTATACATAATCTTTTTCAGACATATGTAGCTCATTTTTTAAAATTAACAACAAATTAGTCTCTTAAAAAACTCCCTTTGTTTCCTAAATAGTTTGGAGAATAAAGTTTTGATTTATATATAAACTTTGGTGTCAATAATCAATAGGGAGAATGACAAATAAATTCCTCAAAAATAGGAAAATGATAATTTAGTCTCACAAAATGTGATAATGCCTTCTAAGTTCTAAGGGACCTAATTCTCATTAAAGTTTTTATGAAATGACAAAAATATTCTTTAATTTAAAAAAGTGGTGAGAAAAAGTTGTGAATGCCTAAAACCACTTTAGTCATTTACTGAACTAAACTTGTGAATTCAAAAACCAAAAATGAAAAAAAAAAAAGCCTTGTTGCACTTGCTTATTGAAGAAAAATGCTGAAAAAAGTTGCAAATGCCTAAACCACTTTAATCATTTACTAAACCAAAGTTGTGGTTTCCAGAACAGAAATTGTGAATGAAAATTTTTTGTTACACTTTGCTGATTGAAATGATATTTGCTGAACTAGAGTTATAAATTTTAAAACTAAAGTTGTAAATAAAAAAAAGTTGCACTTTTTAAAACTAAGGAATATTTTTGTCATTTCATCAAAAACTTTAATAACAATTAGGTCTCTTAAAATTTAGAAGGCGTTATCATATTTCACTGAATCAAATAGTCATTTCCCTATTTCAGAGGGATTTGTTT